ACAGCTTTTTCAGCAATAGCTCGATATTTTATGTAGTTAGACTAGGTCATGGATTCTGCATATATATTTTAGTATACTTTTCTCTCCTTGCACACCCTTTTTTTTTTTTTTTTTTTTTTTTTTTTTTTTTTTTTTTTTTTTTTTTTTTTTTTTTTTTGACGGAAGGAAATGCATGAAATTGCATACCCGCTTCCCACAGCGCGTGGTCCACGGGTGATGTGGGGCTCTCCCCGGCAGACGGCCGGGGCCTACCCACTAAAACCTGCCGATGTCCCTCACAAGGAAAGCGGCCGTGGGATCGGCACGAAGCCATTCACCACAGTACCGCCCCCAAAGAACCCGCCCAGACGGGGCAGGTTCCCTCTCGGGTTAGGGGGGAGGCTCAGGAACATTCGAGTCTCACCCCCCAGACAGGACAAGGGGCGTGCAATGTCCAGTAGCGCGCAAACCACCAGACTGCCCCTCGTCAAGGACAGGAGACACGCAACTGTGTCCCTCCTGCCCTAACGACTGTCTCGTGGGGCCTTGCACACCCTAGTACAATCAGAATCCCACCCGGGTGGAAACTGGGGTTTATCTTTAAACTATTTTTTTTTTTATAAGGAAAAATTTTGTGTTTCTAATTCGAAATTACTTTTGTATACTGCCCAATCTTTTTCCAAATTATATTTAAGATGGATCCCGGGGATAGTCTGAATGTTTGGCCAATAATTTCGAGTATTGGAAAATAAAATGACTATTGAAAAGTGATCACTACCATGGATAGAAGGAAGTACGGTCCAGGTAAAAAGGGATCAACAGCACTAGCAACATTTTGTGTTGGAGATACCCTACGTGTAGGTGATCCATCATTTAATATACAAAGGTCTTATTAATCGCAAATGTCCTAAAAGTGGGGAGATAAATAGACACAGTAATAGAAACCCCATGATGTGTGATGAATGTTAAAGTCTACCAATACAGCTAGGGGTTGAGTAAGTGGAGAGACGATACTTGATAATTCAGTTAAGTATTCAAGATTTGGATATGGGATATAAACTGAAAGACATATGATACTTAAAGCCTTTAATGCCACTACATTAATGTATTCACTGTGAGATGGTTATGGAATAAGAGAAAATATGACAGATCTAGAAACCAGAAGGGCAGTGCCTACATATCCATCATTTCTGTCATCCTGAAAACAAGCAAAATCTGGAATACGGAGTTTTACACCAGATTTTACACTCTAGTTTCCTGGACAGCAAATATAACAGGTGAGTATATATTAATGAGGTACTGAATTTCAATAATTTTATTTCTACTGCTGCGGCAGTTCCGTTGAAGTATTAGAGCCATTGGGACATGAAAGTAACAGAAGCTGAGATAGTTGATCTTTGGCGTTGTTCAGTAAGCCGATATTACTAAAACGGCCGATGTAATTGATAATTGTTATCAAGTCAAGTCAAGTCAAAATAATATTTATTCAAATAGACTTCTTAAAAGTACTTTTGAATCGTCCAAAATTTTTTTTGCCTACCACTTGTTCATGACGTCTTTTGACTGATAAGAAGAACGAGCAAGAAACTCACCAAATCTAATAAGAGTAATGACATTTACATAAACCATGTCATTACCAGGGGCGCAACCGCCTAACTCATGGACGTAGCCGTAGTCGTAGCTATAACCCACGCTTTATCGATATTTCTTATGAATCTGTTTATATTCTTTTAAAATTAATTGTTTTTTTTTATTAAACATTTCGGTTTGTTTTTCTTTTCAAAATAGCATTTTTGTATCAATTTGACATTTTGTAAATTTCGTTTAACTTTAATAATTCAGCAAACAAAAACAACTAAAAGCATTGATTAAATATGTAAATAATAAAAAATTATTAATTTTAAAACAATATCAACAGATTCATGTGTAAAACCTATAAAGCGTAGATTATAGCTACGACTACAGCTACGTCCATGAGTTAGGCGGTCGCACACCTGATCAATACATTATAAACAGAGAGAGAGAAAAAAAAACTATGGTCTTATAACGATAACGTAATCATTTAATAATAATGGAAACAAGATAATGAGTTTAGAAGTAATCACATATCCAATTGCTGAAGAGTAAGTATTTTTTCAATAGTAGATTTAAACTGCATGATATCTAGTTGTTATATTTTACTTGGGACCTTTTTGTAGAAGCGCACACAAAGACCCTTGAATGAGTTATTAACTTTTTGCAGTCTAGTGACAGGCACCGTTAATTTATTGTTATTTCTTGTATTAAAATTGTGTACATCACTTTTTATAGAAAACAAACGAATATTTTTACGAACGTACATTAAGTTCTCATATATGTATTGAGAAGTAACAGGCATAATGTCTATTTCCTTAAATTTCTCCCTTAAAGATTCCCTAATCCTAAGATAATAAATTGATCTAATTGCTCTTTTCTGAAGTACAAGAATTGTTTGTATGTCGGCAGTATTTCCCCACAATAGGATTCCATACGACATTACACTATGAAAGTAACTGAAGTATACTAATCTGGCAGTATCTATGTCAGTTAACCTACGTATTTTCATTACGGCATATGCTGCAGAGCTAAGTCTACTCGACAATTTATCAATGTGTGGGCCCCACTGTAGTTTAGAATCTAATGTTATTCCTAAAAATACTGTGGTATCCACAAGGCCCATGTTCTTATCTTTTAAATTAACATTTATCTACTTTTTTAACATTAGGTAGTACAAATTTTAAGCATTTTGTTTTTCCTTCATTAAGGAGAAGATTATTTACATTAAACCAATGTACTACTTTGGCGATAGAATTGTTCACATCGTCATTTAGAGGTAACCCTCTTTTAATTTTAAACAAAAGTGAAGTGTCATCCGCAAACAAAACTATTTCGTGATCATCCCTTACGAAATAAGGCAAGTCATTTATATATTGTAAATCAAAAATAAGAAAGGCCCAAGTATTGAGCCCTGCGGAACATCCATCTTAACTAACCATCTCAACTTTTTTAATATGATCCAAGGGATCTTTTGCCATTAATACCAACCCTCTGTACTCTGACAGTCAAGTACGAGACAGTAAAATCCAATGAGTTCAATTCAATTCAATTTAATCCTTTATTTACCCTTTATTACATTTCGCAACTTAGGCAAGTCATAATACAATTACATCATATCATAAATATAAGTATACTACAAATTAAAAGTATCACACACTAACATGATAAACACCTATTATCACTGATATCAACAATCATACAGAAATATAATCATTTCCAACAACAAAAGACTAATATTAATATAAAAAAAAAGTGGTTGAATTTTGGCGATGACTAGTTATAATTAATGTATCTACTACAAACATGACTCCAATAAACAAAACAAAACATCACGCTGCCATTATATATTACTAAGTGAACACAGTAGAAATTCAGACATATCATAAAATGGATGTCTTTCAAAGAAAAATTTGATTCTATTTTTAAACTCGTCAAAAGGCAGCTTTGTTAAAGGTAATGGTAATTTATTGTATAATTTAATTTTCAAACTCATGCCTAGATTTGAAACTTTCTGTAATCTTACTTTGGGTATAACAATTTTTTGTTTATTTCGTGTATTGTAGTGATGGACATCCATTCTCGTCATTAATGTACATTTCTGCCTGTGAATTTGTAACAATGATCTAAATATAAATACATTTATTACAGTCATAATTAGATTTTTGCAAAATGCGCTCGTGCTGATGCCAGTCTTTGTAAACCATCTATTATTCTGATTGATCTCTTTTGGCAAATAAGAACTCTACTCACACCAGCAGCTCCACCCCAAATAGTGATTGCATATGTAATTATTGAATGACAGTATGCGTAATATACCGATATCAGCGTCTTCCTGTCCACCAAAGGTTTAAGTTTAAACAGCGCGTAATTGGCACTAGACAATTTTTTACAGATTTTATCTATATGGATATCGAAACTAAGTGTTGAATCTATGTTACAACCAAGGAAAACCACACTTTCATTATGCTGCCCAGTTTTTATTTTACATTTATAGTTTAGAACAGTACTCTTTGTTTCATTCAAAATAATGCCATTATTCCGAAACCAACTTTTTATCCTATCAAAGACATCGTTTCTTTTTTCAACTAAGCCTTATTTATTTCTGTCTATAATGACTATATGAGTATCATCAGCAAACAAAGTTAGGAGGGCCCATTTCGGTAAGCAATTTTCTAAATCGTTTATGTAAATTACAAAGAGTACGGGACCAAGTATGGATCTTTGCAGTACTCCTATATTAGTTATTTCTTTTTTTGATTTTATATTATTTACTGTAACTATCTGTTGCCTATTGTTTAAGTAAGACTTTAATATTTCAAGTTCTTTTCCCTGGAATCCGTAACTGTAAAGTTTATGCCACAAGATATCATGTCTTAAGGAATCGAAAGCCTTGGACAAGTCGCAAAAAATGTTATCTCTAAATCCATAAAAATGAAGTTTCCTAATCAATGTTTCATGAAAAACACAATCGAATGCCTTAGATAGGTCATAGAAAACACCTAACGCATCATGTGAATCCTCCCAGGCATTAAAAATTTCTTGTATTAACTCAACACCGGCTTGGCTTGTTGAGCAACCCCTTGTAAAACCAAATTGTTGTCGATTTCGTATGTTTTATTGTGTGTGTTATATAAAAATACGTTTTTATGGAATAAATATTCCGATTTATTATATGGAAAAAATACGCGCGCGACAGCAAAAACAACGACCCGACCTGATACATAAATGTGTTTCCTCCTTAATTCAGTTACAGAATCATTTGTTTTTTTTTTAATGGTAACATTTAAAGCTACAGTATGTTTTCATATGCACAGTAAAAACAGAAAGCGAAGTTATGATTGGCTGTTGATAAAAAAAAATAAAACTCGAACCAATCCCAATGTTTTGTTTACCCGATTTCTAAACGAAGTGCACTCGGAAGATAGAAAACTGTGTTCCGTTTTTCTGCGAAACGAGCGCGGTTTTTGAGCCAATTTTTAATTCAAATTTGAATTTAAACAAACTTTTAGTTTCATTTGATAATATAATGTTCTATCACCCATAAGGCTACATTTAATGATGTCATGACGAGTATACAGTGGCAAGGCCAGCAGAGGTGGCACATTCCACTGGCGCAGCCCTGACAGACATCGCCCCAGATCGAATAATTACGACGCACCCTGCGACCGTAGCCCTAAAGTTAAATTTTTTAGAACGTGTGAAATTTTAGTTCCAAATTCAAAAGCTCAGTAGACTAGACTGTTTGCATCAAGGCGTATCGTTTTGAACACCAATGTAATAGAATCAGTCCATAAAATGGAGGATGCCTTTATTATAACCAATTTTCACTCGCTCTGTCGATTATGTCTGCACAAAAGCACCTTTGCCGTGTCATTATTTGGAGCTGCACCAGATGACGAAACTCATATTCCTGTAACCTCTAAGATTGCAGACTGTTTTGAATTGCAGGTAAGTTGTATTTTATTTAAATTTATATCAGTGCTACATTTGGGTAGGAACACAAAAAGTTCGTGTTCCGCATACCTCTTAAAAACAATAGTATTTGTACTTTAAATAATACCTATAAAATTTTGTTTTCCTACAGATGGACCCTAATGATGGACTACCAAGTAGAATATGTTACAAGTGTTTATTCAAATTGGAGAAATGCTGCAAATTCAAAATACAATGTATACAGAATGAATCAAGATTACGGCAGATCACAGCTCGGTCAAATGAAATGGAACATTCCAATTCAACAGAAGTAAGTACCTATAATTATAAAAATTGTCAAGATTCTCAAAAACCAAAACCTGAAGATTTCATTGTAGAAGACAGTGTTGTTATGGTTGTGGATCCCAGTCTTGATTATGACTCTTCAGAAGAGTCTGAAGTAACTGAACAACCAGATAATGAGCCTACTGAGAGAGTGAATACACCAGACGGAGAACCAGTAACAGAGTCTTTCTTCAAAAATGTGTTTATGTGTCAGTATTGTGATCAGGCATTTATCTCTCAGGAAAAATGTACTGAACATGAGGATAATTTCCATGACCGAAATTTACCTTATAAGTGTGTAGAGTGCAGTTTAGTTTTTGCTGAAAGAACACAATATGTGCAACACACTAAACAAGTTCATGGCAATGACAAACCATATCATTGTCCAGAATGTGACAAATGTTTTGGACGGAGGTCAGATTTACGAAAACATTCTATAGTTCATACCGGAATAAGGCCATATCAATGTCATTTTTGCTTAAAAAGTTTCTCGCGTAATACCAACTTGAGTAAACATCTAAGAATCCATGCAGGCCGTAAGCCACATGTTTGCCCCTTGTGTCCGCGAAGTTTTGTTGCTAAAGGCGATTTACAGAGACATGTACTTGTTCATTCAGGCATGAAACCTTTTGCTTGCAAAAAATGCCCTCTTACATTTGGAAGAAGGGATAAATTATTAAAACATGAACTTCGTCATGGGCCAAAACCAAAAACAGAATTTGAAAATGATGATACTCATGATATGGTAGTAAATGTTAATCCTTTTAGTAATTTAATGACTTCACCGCCACAAGTAAATCCTGATTTATCTAATGCTGATTACGACCTTCCAAGAGTTCCAGATCATATATCAGGTGAAAGCAGTTTCATTAATCAAGTTAGGAATCAAAATAAAACTAAGAGTGCATCCACTTCTGGAAAACAACTAACAATATCCCCCACTAAATCTAAAGTATTAGCTAAAAACAGGCCTAAAAACATCAAATGTCATCAGTGCCCTAAACGATTTTCTTCTTTAGATGCTTATAAAACTCATGTCTCTGTTGCTCACATTGGATCACGAGTTTTTCAATGCAAAATTTGTTTTAAAAAATTCCCACGGAAAAGGGAATTAGATCGGCATGCTGCTCTGCACAGTGGTATGAAACCATTTTCTTGCAGTCAATGTGATAAGAAGTTCACTAGGAAAGATAAATTAGATAAACATGAAGAAACGCACGAATGCTTGGTTGTGAATATGCCTTGCATAGAATGTGGAGCCACATTTGAGAAAAAAGCTGAATTAGTGGCACACATTAAGTCGCATTTTACTGATAACTATGATGATAAGAACTCTGAGACTGAAATAAAAAAAGAAGAGCCTGATTTCCTTTCAGATGATAATTTTTATGATTTAGGAACTTGAGATTTGGCTTTTGGCATTTAACAAATGTCTTACAATTCACTATTTTTATTGACAGCATTGTTCCTCACATTGTACTTATGTTTATGTTAATTGTTACAAAGATACTGTTAGATGTGATATAAACAACATAAGTTGTGATCAAACTACTTATGTTATTTATCTCATATATTTAATTTTGCGAGTTGAAGACTAGTAGAATGTTGAAGTATAGCATTTTAAATCATTCATTTCAAAAATGTATTAATAATATACATAATTGTAAAATGTAGAAGTTATATAATAGCTAATGCATATGAATAAATATTGAAATTATTATAACTGTATACTATCACTATATTCTTTACTTTCAAAAGATAGTTATGATTAAAATTAATTAATATTTTTTTCGTATTTGTTTTCTTCACACCTTACTTCAATGTTAACTGATATTTTTCGGCATCCACATGTAAAGTAACATTTATATACTAATGTTATATATTTGAGATTCATGCCTTTTGTTAGCAATATTAAGCCTAAATTTAATGTAATTTTGACTTGGGTCAGTAATTATTCTTAAGAATCATTGTTAAAATTTTAATGTTATTAATTTTCCAAAGATAATTAATTAAATAGATATGCATAATTTGTGGGTGTAAATATTTGGTAATGATAGCAGATTTTTTGTTATAATTTTATGGTATGACAAATAATAATTGTAACAAACTCAACTGTCATTTATATCTTAAATAATATTAGATAGAATGTCATGACTATAATAATAAGTTGTTTTCATTTTAATTAGTACTTATCTATGAGAATTATATAGAAGAGACATCAATTCTGTTTAAAAACTAAAAGTTATCATTTTGATTGTATATAAGATTGTAAAGGTATTAGATTGTATTATATATAAGATATGTATGTATTTTATTATTTTTTATTTAAATCTTCATTCACAAAAAAATATATATTGGCAGACTTAATGCCTTAGGCATTCTCTCCCAGTCAACATACTAAGGTTGTGCACACTAGTGCTGTGTGGAAACCGATGGTTAATCTAGACAAAAATCTTTCTGTTTATTGCTGAAAATGTGATTTAAATAACAAATGCTATAGAAAAGAGGTGCATTGAATAAATAAGATTGCATACAATTTTCAAAATACTTTCTATTCATTTCCTTATTAAATAAAATACTCCAGCTGCTTCTTATTTAAAATTTAACCAGCTAATGGATTTGCATGAATAGTCACAGATGTTATTCTTGCTTCATTAATTGGTCTGAATGTTTTGGGATTAACTTGCATTTTTTCTAAATCATCAAGAGCTTCAAACCCATCAATAATCCTGGAACATCAAATTAAAATTGAGCAGGTACTTTTCCAATATTAAATCAATTTGTGTAAATTTCACATTACCTTCCAAATACAGTATATTTGAGATCTAAATGAGGCTGTTCACCATATGTAAAGAAAAACTGGCTTCCATTTGTATTTGGTCCATTATTAGCCATACTAACCATTCCCCTTGCACTATGCTGTAAAATCATTATCAAGCTGTAATATTCATTAAAATTCTCAATGAAAAATACTTAAAAAATCTACATTATCCCTGGTACACTGAGATGGACCTTTTGTGATCTGGGTGACTGCTCTAACCACTGTTGAGATGGAAAGAACTCTTTGTAATGGTGAAAAAATAACAAGTGCTTAAAAAATCTGTCAGTCTTGTTAAGTCCTGGGTAACTCAGTGGTTAGAGCAGTCACCCTGATTATAAAAGGTTGGGTTGATGAGTTTGTCACAATAGTAAAATTTATGACAGCTTATTATACCTTGAGTTCTTCTTTAAATTCATCTTCGAATTTTCTCCCCCATATTGAAGTACCTCCTTTACCAGTACCTGTAGGATCTCCAGTCTGAACTATGAAACCCTGCAATTTAAGTTTTATGAAACAAATTATGCTAAATTCGGTAAAATTTTAGTGATAAAGATGTTCATAATTATGATTAATATTACCTTGATATTTCTATGAAATAAACATCCATTATAATAATCACTACCACATAGTGCTAAGAAGTTTTCACATGCCTTGGGACATTGTTCACAAAATAGTTCAATTTTTATATCTCCCATATCGGTATGTAATGTTACAGACATTTTATCAGGATTTCTAAAAGACTATCTTTTCTAACTTATAAGTCTATTTTATTCTCATACCAAAGTAATAAATTTTATTCAATTTCCAAGGGAATTAAGACACACAAGTAAACAAACAACAAGCTTAACGGCTCTGGATTCAAGTCCTTTTGAGCCATACATTATTATAGGTATTAATAATAAAATTAAATCTTGACTCCAGTATTGAGAATGAATTTGTAAAGTGGTTTGTAGTTCTTGAATTCTTTTAGTAAGTCTTCGAGTTTACTGGGTACCGTTGTTTTCTTGTGTATTGATTCCAGGTCGCTGACAAGTATTAGTCGTTGTATGCCAAATCGTTTGCATTTCATTACCAGATGTTGGAAATCCTCGTCTTCGTTACAAACTGGACACTTCGGGCTATCTACCATTTTCAGTCTATGTAGGTGAGTGCGAGTCTGACCGTGACCAAATCTCATTCTATTTACGGTTGTTATGAATTGTCTGTTGGGCACTGTTTTTTTGTACCACCAAGGTTGGGCGGGCGGGCTTCCTTGGATCATTTTATACCACCGACCTTTTTCTTCACTAATAAGATTCCAATATTCTTTCCAGAGCAATGTGAGATGCTGGTTTGTTTTGGATTTGAAGTCTGTAAATGGAACTTTCATAGAAGAGGAGTGGTCTTCATCAGGTGTGTTTCTTGTTATTTCATCAGCTTTTTCATTCCCAGTGATGCCACTATGAGACTGTACCCATACGAAATGTATTCTCTTTCCCATATTACTAAAGTTATATAAGAGTTGTTTTATATAATAAACTAAATAATTTACATCATATTTACAGTTATTATTATTAAATGAATTTAATGCACTTTGGGAATCTGACAAAATCAAAAAGTCATTACTATTTATATTACTTATGTACAATAAGGCCTGATAAATGGCATAGCATTCGGCAGTGTATACAGAACAATCTTTAGGAATCTTAATGCATCTAGTTACACTTTGTTGTATATCATAGAAAGCTGAAGTTACTTTATCATCAGATTTTGACCCATCAGTATAAATTTTATAGAAACCTTTGTTTTCAATAAATTGCATTAATTCATTATTATTGTGTAATAAATCTGTATGCAATATAAAACTACAATTTGTTAATGCATTATAATCAAGCTTATATAAAGGCCACTGATTGTCTCTAAATAGGTTGTCATAGAACTTATGTATGTACACTGTTATTGCAAGTAATCCTGGAGTGATTCCAGATTTTAGTAATGATATATTGATATATGAATCTGTTTGTGTATTTTGTAATATTTGTGGTGGTAAAAGCCTTTTCTCTAAGCAATAATTTTTTGATGAAAGTATTTTTATACAGAATCTTTCAGCCAATTGTAACCGGCGAAATATCAAAGGTGGTATACAACTTTCAGTCTGCATGACATGTATGGGTGTTGAACACATTGCACCAGTTATTATTCTTAAAGCCTTATTTTGAATTGTATCTAACTTTTTAAGTAGAGTAAGATTAGCATTCATATATGCCAAACTACTGTAGTCGAAATGACTTCTAACAATGCTTTTGTATAGCATAGATAAGATTTGAGGGTCAGATCCCCAATGTACCCCTGCTAAGGATCGGAGAACATTTAAAGCTTTTGTAGCATTACCTAATATTTTATCAATGTGCTTCTGAAAGTTTAATTTAGTGTCCAGAAGTACACCTAGATATTTGTAATTTTGAACCCATGGCAAAGAAATATTATTGAAATTTATATAACTGTTAATTATGGGGTTTAAAACCTTTTTTGAGAATATCATAGCTGAACTTTTGGAACCACTTATTTCTAATTTTAACTTATTATTATAAAAACTATGAATTTGAAACATTGCTCTATTCAGTTTGTTAATTGCAATATTTACATCTTTATGTATAGTATAAACAAGGAGATCGTCTGCAAATTGTAAAAAATGTACATCTTTTTCTTTTAAAAATTGTTTGATCTGACAGGTATAAATATTGTATAATATAGGGGATATGGTTGCTCCTTGCATTGTTCCCTTATAGACTTTTCGTGGTTCGTGAAGTATATTGTTATATTTTAAATACATAATCCTTTCATAAAGAAAATTAAATATCCATTTATTTACTTTTCCAGGAATACCTATTTCAAACAGAACTTGTGTTAGTACAGAGGGATCCACATTATCAAATGCTCCTTTAATATCTAGGAATGTACATACTGTTGCAGAATGACTAAGGAAAGATGATTTTATGTCATGTATTAATGTTGTGAAGCTCTCTGTTGCACTACGACCTTTCCGGAAGCCAAATTGTTCTGCAGGTAATATATTGTTACTCTCTAAATAATAATCTAATCTTACTTTTAACATATTTTCAAACACTTTACCTAAACAGGAGGACAAAGATATAGGTCTATATGAATCACTGTCACCTGCGGGTTTATTGGATTTCAATATTGGAATCACACATTGTGTTTTCCAGGTAGATGGTATCATTTGTAATTCCCAAAGACTATTATAAATGTCGAGTAATTTTGTTTGTGCATTCTTGTGTAATTTTTTAATGAGAATGTATGTTATATCGTCAAGGCCCGGACTGGTGTCTTTCCTAGATTTTAAAGAAATTTCAAGTTCTTGAAATGTAAATGGTTCTGTAAGAAAATGAGCATTTGAATGTCCATTAAAGTTAAAAGCTGTTTCCAGATTAACAAAATCTATGTTTTTTCCAGGAGCTGATAGTGGTGCATATTTTTCTAAGAAGTCTGAAATCCATTCATCATTCTTTGGCTGTTTCGGGGAAGATGCCCTTTTAAACCTTCTTATGTAATTCCAAATGTTACTTATTGGAGTATACCTATTAAAACTTTCACATAATTTCGCCCAACTATTTTTTTTCTTTTCCCTAAGCAGTAATTTTTTTGAAGCATCTATTTTTTTATACGAAATATAGTTTTCAATCGTTGGATTAGATCTGTAAAAATTTAATGCATCTTTACTTTTTTTGACTGCATCCTTACACTGATCATCCCACCAGGGGGCGGGCCTTTTAATAAGTGAGGGGATATCTTTTTTAAATTTCGGTATATATTTTTCTTTTAATTCATTTAGTATCATACAAAATCTTTCATAGGAGTTCATTGGATTAACATGACTTAAGACAACATTATTAAACGCATTTTCACTTTCTATTGTAAATCTATTCCAGTTAGCTTTACTATATATATATCGTTCATTCGGGGGTCCTACTACGTATTTTTCAATAGAGACCTGAATATCGACAATAGTTGGGAAGTGATAGCTTCCCATAGAATCTGAGTGTACGCTCCAGGTACATAAAGGAGCTACAGAAGGACTTATACAACTAACGTCAATTGCAGATGGATTATAGCCTGGTCGACCTACTGTGGTTGCTGAACCAGAGTTTAATATACACAAGTCACAATCATCAAATATATTGTAGATATCATTACCACGGCTGTTACATGTTAAACACCCAAATGCTACGTGATGAGCATTAAAGTCACCAGATACCATAATTGGTTTAGGTAGATCATTAATGACTTTCTTTAGCTTATTACTTTGGAAGCTCGGTCGACCTTGTTTCGAAGGAGGACAATAAATACATAATAATGTTAATTTCCCAGTGCCTGTATATAAAATTATAGCAACAGATTGTAACTCTTCATAAAATGGAACTGATAATATGGAATATTTATATGGGTCTTTAATTAAAATTGAAACTCCACCACGACCGCCTATACTAATTTGATTAATGCTGTTGTAATTGGGGATACGGAAATTGTGATTTTCTTTAAGCCAAGTTTCATTTAATAAACAAACATCTATATTGTTATTGCGAAGGTAATTAATAAGAAGAGGTTTTTTATTTTGAACACCTTCAATGTTATATTGAGATATTCTAATTAGACCTTGGTCCATTCGTGTTCAGGTTTTAAAGTTTTTATTAAAATATCTTGTATAACATTGCTAGTTATAGCTCTTTCCTCATTTCCAATAGTGACTAGAACGCCAACCAAAGCCTTACGAATAAAATCGTTTTTAATAATTTCGTCTATTAGTTTTTCGTTGGATAATTTTGGTACGGAGTCATTTGTGATATTGTCGGCGCTTGTTGAAGTATTAGGTACCGGGTTCAATCCCTGAGTTTTCTTTGGAAGTGCGGGTCTAATTTTAGGGGTTGGTAGTAGAGGGAAATTATTTTTATAGTTTTTTAATACATCATTCTTATTGATGTTGTCTCTTCCAGACGAAACAGCCTTAGAATAAGATACTTTGTTTTTTTTGTCCTCTATTTTTTGTTTTTTTAACGGACACTCACGAGAAATCGCTAAATGGGGGCCTTGACAATTAATACATCTCATTGTTTTGTCGGTACACTGTGAAAAGTGATGCTCTTCTGAGCAAATTGAACATTTCTGGGTAGATTTACAAATTTTCGCGCCATGATTGAATTTAAAACATTTGAAACATTGTAGTAAGGGTGCATTATATTCATGAACTTTAAATCTAAATAAATCTAAATATATATAATCGGGGAGTACATTTGAAAGAAAAGTTATACTGACAGTCTTAAAAGTTTTTAAAACGCCATTCTCTTTTTTGGTGAATCTGCGAACGGCTACGATTTCATATGGGGAACTTAGTTTTTTAAATAGCTCTTCATTGCTGATACTAGTGGGTACGAAACGTAGAACTCCTATAGTCTCAACTGCCGACGCTGGGATGTATGCCTTGAATTTATGTTTTACTAAGAATTCTTCATTTTGTAAAAAATTGTTGGCGTGGTTAGATTGTGAGAAGGTCACACAAATTTTATTTTGATTGACTCTTTTTATGTTAACAATGCCTTTAACTTCATTTTTGAAAAGATTGGTCGTGACGATCGGGTTGTTGTTTCCTAGTTTTTCGTGTTCTTTGTAACTTTCGACGAAAACACAATACTCAGCACTCACCGCATTATCAGCAAAAAGTCTTTTATATCCGTGTTTGATGAAAGGTTTATAAAAATCTTCCGAAGCATCCTTATCTGCATCGCTCGTTCTGTTGGGAGCTTTTCGTTTTTCGGTCCCGCCGGGCGGGTCATCCCCGTCCGGCATAATTATTTATATTTACAAATGTTAATAATTATTTTACACTATTATTTACAGAAATATACAAAAGAAAAGAAAATAAAATGAAATTATTAAAGAGAGTTTTAAAATTAGCGCCTAGTGCGTTCAAAAGCCCGCCAAAAAGTCTGACAGCAACGCTGTAGACAGTGTTGCCAACTCGTCTACAGCTAAATGTGCCAAAACGGTGACAAAAATGACAAAATGAAGTTAATGAGAAAGTATTAAAAAAAAGAAAGCACTAAAAGCACCTCACTAGATGGCGAATAGCAATTAAAGATGTTTATTAATTTATTATTGAAACATTCACATTTAAGATTTCTTTATTTTGTATAAAAGCTATTGGCGTATCCAATCTTAATCTCCATTTGTCAAAATGATAGTTAAAAATTCTATTCTTGTTGGCCCCTGTCTATGTCTCTGGAATTGTGTAATATTTTCTTTTTACTGTTTTCTTTAGACGAAACATTATAAAATATAGAAATAATTAAAGTTTTTTTTTTAATAGTTTATAGTTAAGAATTTTTACTATATAATAATAAAGTGATCAAGTATGCCAAAAATAGGTCTACGTGCAGTTTAACAACAAAATATACACTGAACTGATGGATATTTCTGAGATTTTGTGTTATTTTTTATTTTAACTTGCAAATAGATACATTATAGAAATGTGCTAAAAATATGCTAAATCCCAAAAATAATTGCAAAACAAGTTCAAAATACGCTAAATTGGCAACACTGGCCTCAGACTGTCAATCGTTTTATAATCAAAAGCAAAGGAATCCTAACCATTTAACTTATTCTTGCTTTAGATTTACGTACGTAGCCACACAACCAATAATCCGTCGGGTGAAATTTTCTATATTGTCTTAATACTGTAGTATGAGTGTCATGGCACCATGACGCAGAATGACCATCACCATGATAAACGGAGATCTCCGTTTATTAGTTATTAAGGACTATCTTCCACACTACCGTGTGGGGTTCCATGGGGAAAAGATTATTTATTTTACTTTGGAAAATATGTTTTAGATCATAAAAACATTGGTATTCCATATACCTCTTTACTATGAATAAATATAAGGTACGTACATGGTAGCAATTCTCTCACCCAGGGACGGAATAAAAGACAACAAAACTGGCCTTAAGGCACTGCCAACCGGTATGGATGTTCACAAAAAAATCGATTTAGGTTCTACTTAGTTGCTAAATTTGACCTAGAACCAGGGGGCTGCATTCGCCGTGGACAACACTGAAAATGTTTTCATCAAACAAATATGAAAATACAGATTGGCTGATTCTAAGCAGCTTTGTTGTACAAATCTTTTTTTCGAATCAATACATAACTAAAGGGCCATTATCTGTAGATTTCATAAACTTTTTTAATCCGGATCTATTTATGTATGTTAGCTGTTCTATTTATGTATGATTCAATTATTTTACAGGGTTATATTTAATAAAATATCGGCCAAGCGCAAGTCGGACTCGTGCACGAAGGGTTCCGTGCTGAAAACGATCAATAAATCACGTTTGTTATATAATAGGTAACCCCCTGAAATATTAATTTTATTCTAGTTTTTCAGAAATATATCATCTGTAAAAATTTCAACGTCTAATTTTCACGGTTCGTGAGATACATCCCTGTGACAGAAGACAGACACCAAAGTCTTAAAAATGTGGGAAAATGCAAAAATAAATAAAGTTGTATCTCTAATGCTTGCTAGAAACGTTCAAATGGAAATTGGCTTTCTGTCAAATCGGATGAAACTATGATGAATGGATAGAGGAAGTCTTCCTGAGTAAAAGTCCTCATGGGCACTAAGCCCGAAAATCGAAACTTTTAGTACTTTTGGGCATTCGAAGTTTTTGATTTTGGATTCTAGCAAAATCAATAAATCCTTGTAGAATCGGCCCAAAGTTCAATTAGACATAAAAGAAAAAATACGTATCGAATATTTTTTCAAGACCTTTCGAACGACACCCTATTTGACCCCCCCCCACTCCCCCACCTACGGGGGTGGAAGGGGAGCGGTTTTTTGCGAAAAAGTTCTTTTATAATGTTATAATGGCCTCATGATTGACGGAACACTTGAGCCGTGCCCGATCGACCCCCCCCCCCCTCACCCACCCACCACACGCGGGGGCGGAGGAAGAGAAGAGATAAAAGAACTTTTTCGCAAAAAACCGCTCCCCTTCCACCCCCGTAGGTGGGGGAGTGGGGGGGGGGTCAAATAGGGTGTCGTTCGAAAGGTCTTGAAAAAATATTCGATACGTATTTTTTCTTTTATGTCTAATTGAACTTTGGGCCGATTCTACAAGGATTTATTGATTTTGCTAGAATCCAAAATCAATAACTTCGAATGCCCAAAAGTACTAAAAGTTTCGATTTTCGGGCTTAGTGCCCATGAGGACTTTTACTCAGGAAGACTTCCTCTATCCATTCATCATAGTTTCATCCGATTTGACAGAAAGCCAATTTCCATTTAATTCAGTTACATATTTCAATAAAACACATGTAAAAATTAAAAACAAATATAATAAAATAAATACATTATAATGAGATCACTATAACTATTCACTACCACCGGCTCTTTCGTTTTGTCCGGTGTGAGGTTCATGTGTGTTTTCATCCATTCCAACATGTCCATAATTTCCAAGCATTCTTTGACTATTAGGATCAAAGGGCGATTTCAAGTAAAGAGTTGCTTTATACTTCTTCCCCATAACTTCAATTTCGTAATTTCCTTCGGTCAAATAATTTTTAGTGACTACCGAGCCTTTGCTGGTAATATAGGCGATACCAATTGGTTTGTCGAGGTAAAATGCGTAGTCTCCTCTCCTTAGATAGCCGACAGGCTCTCCGTTTCTGAACACTGCTTCTTGACCGAATAAAGGCACCTACAATTAAAAGTATAATTATTTCTTTTATTATATATGCAATAAAAATACAATGGGGGATGAAACTAAAATGATATTAACAGATTGAATATAACATCATTAAGCACTTAAAAGTGCAAATAAAAAACTTTTTATTAATATACAAAACATTTTAAAGAATTCAATGTGATTAATGCATGTTCCGTGGACAGTTGATAATTTTGTGATGTGATAATTTTGTGATGTGATTATTTTAATTGATTAAAATAAAGATTAAGAAGTGCTCGATGACTCGGTCTGTGAAACGGTTGCTAAGTAACTTTCACAAGGGCCGGTAATAGGATGGGTGACCAATTTATTATCTTGAGCTCCTCCGCGCTGTGGAAGGCTCGGTAAGCTCTCGGTCCCACTGAATCTGCAGTCATTAACACCCACAAATCCGCAATGGGCCCGCGTGGTGGGTCATAGCCCTTTCTAGCTATTCAATTTGATTCGATTCCATCCATAGGGAAAGCCTGAGCCCCAGCATTGGGGACATTTAAAGGCTGGTGATGAAAATCATGATTTTATTTTTTAGGAAATGGATGGAGGAAATTAATTTCTTGGGCCGAGAACACTGTTAAGAATACTATAATACTGCAATTAACCACCCTCCTTACTCTCGAACTCGTTTCGTACTCTTGATTGGGTACAATAGCGCCAGAGCATGCTGCTAGTGAACCACTCAAGAGTGCGAAGCGGCACAATCGGAACGTCTCAATCAGTCGCGATTGCGTTCAAGAGTAAGAGGACATATTTAGAAATCGAATAATTAGATACTCTTTTAATGTTAAAACTAAGAATTTTAGACACCTTTTCTTCGAGCGTGAAGAATGCATATTTTTTCGTGACCCCATTTGTTTTCGCTTTGGCGACATGTTCATTGCCAATATATTGGCCGTCTTTACGACAGGCGAATCCTAAATTGGCTTCAATCGGATTATCGTCACTCCTCAAGTCAGCATTCCAGAGATGATAACCTAGAATTGGAAACTAAATTAGGTATAAAATTAAGGTATTGACATATATAAGATACCTTAAAGATAAACAATCGCTCTTTATTATGACAATTTTACAATTTAATAATAAAAAAGAATTATTTAACCGGATGTCGACACTAGTAACGCCATCTTGTGGCACTCAACGACTACCAAGTGCAAAATGGCGATTATATATGCTGACGCCAAATTGAATCGTGGCAGTCTTCGTTACACGCGAGGTGATAACTAGTGTTGAAGTCTATTAAAGTGTTGTCTTATTAATATGTGTATATGTGTGAAGAGTTTAATTGTTGATTATTATAAGTGTAATTTAAATTAAGTTAACAATGACCATTAACATCAATATAGCATCGTAAAAGCGAAATCTATCAATAAATAAATCTATACTAATATTATAAAGCTGAAGAGTTTGTTTGCTTGTTTGTTTGAACGCCCTAATCTCAGGAACTACTGGTTCGAATTGAAAAATTATTTTTGTGTTGATTAGACCATTTATCGAGGAAGGCTTTAGGCTATATAACATCACGCTGCAACTATTAGGAGCGAAGAAATAATGGAAAACGCGGACGAAGTCGCTGGCGGCCACTAGTTTTTAATATTGATGTACGCTGGGCTGCACTTCAACTTTATATGTTAATTTTCTTTAGTTGATTTTAAACTCTATTCACAAGATATTAAGGTTTAAATTGAAATAGATAAATTTGAGAGACTTATACAACCTGAACTAACGCCCTGTCGTCTGTATACTCTTTGTTATAAACATGATTAATTAAGATTATCGAAATATACATAAATATCAATTGCTGTTCATTAGCTTCGCTAAACTAAATACATATAAATATTGGTTACTGTTTTTTGTCTCGTTTGGTTGAGAACAGTTGAACCGATTTATGTAGCTGATTTTGGTTACTAAATGTTTGTCCTTGTCCCAGATAAATTTAAACGGAGAGTTTGGTGATACGAAGTACACCGGGTCACCTAGTCGCAAATAAATATATTACCTTTTTCAGCGCTAAGTGAAGTAAGCGCTCTCCACCCTGCATTCCTTAATCCTTTTGCATGACTCAAAGCTTTGTATACTTGAATAGCATGAGACGAGGGTACGTGCAATTCCCAGCCCAATTCCCCTGACCAGCCCACTCGTAGTGCTCGACAAGTGTAAGTCTTATTGTCTGGGGCATAAGGACCTTTCGATACACGGATACTTTTATGCGTGTATAGTGGGAAAGCGTCGTTCGAGAGGCCGGCAGATGTGAAACGCTGGAGGATACGTTGACTAAAAATTTGAAATTTAAATATATTAATTGTACGAAAAGTTATGTCAAGGTTAAATTAATTCAAACCCTATGTTTATATAAAGTTCTATTAAAATAACTATTAGTGCAATAGTTAAGAACGAATGTTACTATGTCATGTGACATATAGTTGTCACCCTCTCCGTTCTGTCATTAGAATTAAAATAACACCTGAATATCTATCATGTTTATCTGAAAACAAAATATGATCTATTTTCAAAGTAACTATTAATACGATTCCAGATAAATACATTAATCGAAATTTTATTATGATGCAACGGAAGTAGTATCCGCTACTATATACAATTTTAATTAAATTATGAGACGCAATTCGAAATTTTCAGAATATAATGAATAGAATCATATTAATTCTAATGAGTTATAGCACGCTGTATTTTAGTAGTTATTATTTTATATCCTCATTATTTCTTTATTCAAATAAATAACATATAGTGGCTACCTATCAGGTCCTTGTACACTAAGAATGCAGAGTTGCTTTGTGACGTCAGTAAGGGTCGCTCGCAGCTTATACGTCTGAATAATACGTCTCAAATGAGCCAACGTATGGTTAGCGTTGAAACCACTAGTAACCACGTAGTATCCGCGCCCCTAAAATGTTAAAAGTTTTTTAAACATAAGTAGATACTATTATGTATAGACATAATAGTATCTAATGAAAGAAAGAATATTATTATAGAATAATATTCTTTCTTTCATTAAAACTTAGGCACATAACAAAGAACGCAATATGGGCAGTATACAAATGGCGGCCTTATTGCTATGCAGCAAAGTCGTTAAAGGCTACCAATGATGATAGTGTAAATATTAATGGCAAAGACAATAGAAAGTTAAATATGAAGGGGGAGGGGAGGCATGTGCAATAACGTAAGTAATATTAAAATAAATATATGTAATTCAAGTGGAAAATAGATCTATATTATATTTATGTTACGCTCAAAGATATAAATCGCTCATTGAGCGAACAACTATTTGTTCATTATTTGACTATCTAACAACTATTTGATCACAACGCGTTGTAGCAATCGCAGAATAACTACATAGCAAAATCTGTGTCGTGGCTGGCATGCTATTAAATACTTATCTTGAAATCTGAGCTATGTATGTGATGTTGTCTAATATTTATTATTACATTTATTTATCGTTCATCTCCTGGGGTGCGACCGCTTAATCTCTAACCATGATTCTGGACATAAGATACATCTTGTCGATTCATTTTGTACTTTGACACGTACTTTAGTAATGACGAACGAACGATAATTTTTTTCGCTCTCTTTATTTTAGCACAAACTGTCATTAAGGAAAAGTTGCGCTTAAATATAAATATTACTTATGTTATAGACAATAGAGTTCCGAAAATATATATATATATATACTAAACAATCTTTAAGACAGTAAGTAACTTGTTGAAATTAATAACTATTAAAAAATCTTTGCAAAAGGGTTTTTCTTTATCTCACAAATAAAGGTAAAATAATTGCGTGTGGTAAGTGGTAACCTAATTAATAAAATATATATATATATATATATATCGTCCTCAGAAATCATTAGGATAATTGTACGTTTTTCATAATGAGTTACCTTAAAAATTGGCTCATGTGGCTGTCCGCTGCCACCGTCTAAAATACTGACTGTAACGTCCGCTTCAACACCTCCTTTATCATTTAAAAGGAGAGAATATACAACCCTGAAAATAATTTTTTTTTCGTATAGTAATTATTTAAAAAATAAGCCATTCTTTATACTTAAAATGGGACACATTGGACTGATGAATTTTCTGTGAAAAATATCGATAAAGCATTGTGAATTATGGAATAGATCAAATATTCTTCATTATATTTTTTTCAAGTAACATTAGTATATATTTATAGTATAATGAATAGCCCTACTGTTAATACAGTAGGGCAATTGTTCTAATGTTAGCGTAATTATGGAAAGTTAATAGCGCTTAAACTATAACCGTTTATTACACAGCTCTTGTTACAAGAACACAAAATATTTAAAATATGTAAAATCATTGATTTATTAGGAAAACTTTGCAATTGATTGAGAAAGTCAAAGTTAAAATATTTTTTATTCAAATAGATTTCTTAAAAGTATTCTTAATACAAAATGCTCTAACCGCTGAGCTACCCAGTACCTAACAGGAAAGTTACAAATGTTGAAACTTTCGTTAAAGATTTGAATCTATTCTTATATTTGATCGGATTGGGAAAGGTCGTGGTTTGAATCTTATCTCAGGGTGCCAGGGGCCAAGTGGATTTTTTTAAGCATTTTGTATTAAGAATATGTTTCAGCAAATTAATCATGTCATTAGCAGATCAATACATTATAAATTTAGATTAAATTGAGATGTGATTGTAACGTAAATTTTTGTTTACCCATCATGACATAACCGGCTCTTATGAAATAACATTAGAACCATTGCGCTAATCAGAATATATCTCAACCTAAATCAAACTTATGCAGTCATAAAAGTTCGCTTACACATCTATTTCAATCATCATCAGCCCTTTTAAGTCCCCCCCGCAAGGCCTCAGGCCCTCCCTTTGGATGATTAACGAAGAGGATAGGCTATGACGCTGCCCTAGTACGAATTGGAGGGTATTAACAACTGTAAATACGGTACCAACGTCTTCTGAAGCACGGAGTAGATCGAGATAATATTTTTTTGGTCACCCATTCCGAGACCGACCCTTGCAAAAGTTGCTTATGTCACCGAGCTATCTATTTCAATACTTATCTATTTATTAATTTTTACCGACCTATCATCGGTCCTCGCTAAATCAGCTGTGAATGCAAGCTCAGCAGTTCTTTGCGCATCCGGACCGGTCAAATAAAACTTGCCATAGTAAGACATGTTGAATAATGCCGCTGCGTTTCTACACGATAGAGCTTCTTGGCCAATCTGAAATGGTTTTCGATTTATAATAGGCTTGTGTCTTACGATTTGTTAAATATACTGAAAAAGTTTTACTAGAATAGCAATACTGATATGCTTAAATAGAAATACTTGAATCAAATATATTCGGCACCAAAAATATTTCGATTTGGTGCCGATCAATCTATGTGTTAAATTAATACTATCTAAGAAAGTCACTATTTTGATATACATATTCTTCAGCTGAAATAAATCTAATTATAAAGAATCAAAGCGCAATGTCAATATATTTTTATTCAAATAAATTTATTTATATTAGTTTTGAATCGTCCAATATTTTTTCCCTACCTAAAAGACGTCCTGAACGGGTGTTCAGGGCGTCTTTTAGCTCGTATAAGAATAAAGATGGTTTTCAATAATTTATATATGAACATTTGAAATTTAGATTAGACGAACACGAAAATGTGTACATACAAGAGGGCCTTAACCCGCTTAATCATGAAAGATAGCAAAATTTAAATTACGTATTCAATAAAAAAACTTTCGATTAATCAATCTCTATTTATATATCTAAAAAATCTGTCTAATATAAATCAATAACTTGTTTGTAATTTCATGTATTTTAAACAGTCGAACTTCACAATGTCTTATAATGTGTACTAGACGTTACTTACAAGGTGATGATGCTTGGAGAAGTCGAATGTGTGATCTCCCTTTAATACTTCTTCATAGCGTTGGTCCAGGTTCCGTGGATAATCATGTGTGCCGCCCCAATCATATTGCTGGACACGGATCTGTATGAAATAGGTACTATATTTATTACAGATCAAATAATCGTAAGGTTAGAGAGACATAGGATGTCAAAATATAAAAAAAAAAGATAACAATAATAATGATAGCTGATCAACTTTATTGCTTTTGACCCATCATCATCATCAGCCTTTTTACGTCCTCACTGCAGGGGCTCAGGCCTTCCTTATAGATGATTAAGGAAGACGGGCCATAACCCTTCACGCCGGCCAATGCGGATTGAAGCCAATGGCTTAACGTACCTTCCGAAGAACGGAAAACTCGACATAATAATTTTCCCATCCCGTGACCTACCCGTGCTTAAGTTGCTTAACTACAACGATCGCGAGCCGAGGCGGATTCTATGGCTACCTGTCAAACTCAAATATCAATTACTTTGTGTAACGCAGCACATTAACTGATTAACGCAAGAATTATTTCTTATGTAATCTTTTATATAAAGATAGAAAGTGACTTCATATATAAAAAACGGGGAGAAAAAAAACAGTCCTTGCTGAGTTCCTTGCCAGTACTTCTCATTACAAGTTCTCCCGCCGTAGATTTGCAAATCTTTCGACATTCACAAATGCTTGTAACAGCCTAGACTGTATAAATGATATTGAATTTGAATATTGTGTAGGTTTGACACTGAGAATCATCGCTATTAACTATCACCAGTCACTAACAGAGCGGGGGCCTAACAATGAGCGCTTTTAGCGCTCTATATATTATTATAGCGCTCTATATATATCTATATATATTATTATTTTTCGGTGCGGCCAGTAGGACACCGCTGTTCTCGCTCGCGGCATGAATTAAACATTGCTATAAGAGGTGATTATAACTCCCTAATTCAACCAACCTTCTCCCCGGGCATGAAGAACGCTGGTCTCTCCCATCCCGCTCTAGCTTGCATCACAGCGCCATCGTCTACTAATTCTTGATGTAAAGCATCGTGGCTGGCATCGCGACCGGCCAACGGTTCATCGTGAGGGAATACCACACAGTAATTCTTTACGTACGCTTCGTGACTACTTTCGCGTATCCAATGAGGACGAGCCATCTGCCCGGGCGTGAAACGGCGGATATCGAATGTGAACATGTTGTAACTTGGCCTGTTGATATAAAGAAGATATATAAAAGTCACCAAAGTATACTTTATGCTAGCTTTTACTACTTCGACCACGTAAATTATAGGCTATGTCATCCACGTATGATATAGCTTTCTCTGGATTAAAGGATTTTTGAAATAGGTTTCAAAGTCATAGTGAAAATTATCTTCAGTCTTAAACTTATAGAGAGTACTTCTGAATATATTAAAAAGGAATTAGTATTTTAATAATATATGAGCAATTTTAATGACTTTATCTTATCAAACTTAACTTCCCCAGAATTGTTATCTAAGCTACAATAAGTTACTTAAACTAGTATATGTAAATGGTATGATGGAACCACTACCAAAGGGCGACAGTTCTCATATAAATGGTGTAAAATTCGGTATTATGTGTCAGAAACAGATCAATGTATAACTTGCCAAATTAATTGGACGTTATTTAGATTCAAATTAAACAAACAAACATTACGTATCTACGTAAACATCAACATAATATCGGCAACTGACGTCAAAGTCCTCTACATCAAAAATCGATAACCTTCATTATCTAAAGCATTTGCAATATTATTGTTAAGTATAAGTATTAAGTTGTTATAACAAATGTATGAAGTTTACTGACCTTCCAGTAAGGATCCAGTCAGCCATCTGTATCGCACAACCAGCTGAGAACATCATGCCAGCGGAGTTATAGCCGCAGTTGTGGTAAAGACCTAATAGCATAATAACACTGCATTTGTTGATATGGCTCGTAAAAATAAACATAATACTTAAATACCAGTTCTATCAATGTCCTACCTCCGTTAAATCATAAATTAACGAAAAATGAGTTTCTTTGGAGTCGTATTAGAATTTCGAAAATAAAAACAAAATCTTTCAAAGAAACAGAATAGGCCTTCATGTTAATTTGTACGAGCAATCAGTATTTATTTAATTACCCTATGCTATCTCGTTAATAAATTGAATTTCTCGAATGTTATTGTTGTTTTTCATATGTATATTACAAAGGTTACCAAAAACATTAGGGTCTTCGCCGAGCAACGGCTTGTGATCCGGCGTGAATGATTCCGGGCCGCATACCGTACTCTTGATGCCGATTTTCCCCAATTTTGGACATAGTGTAGTCGCACTAGTCATGTGTACTCCAAACACGTCCCAATCTAGCTCATACAAATGAAACTGTAGGTTGTCCGGCACCTAGAACGCCCAATACTGTTTTCAAAAAACGCAAATTTCTTATTTCCTTGAAAAGGCAAACTTTTTAAACTTGTTTGCCAAAAAGGACCTTTAACTTTAAAACATATAGCATAGTTGAAACCCACACCTATCTATCCTACTTAAATTTCATAATGATATGACATTTATGCAGAGAAAAACGAATCGAGTTTACAAGGTTTGCCGTCGTAGATTTAAGAACCGATGGCGTAGCTCTCGACTTTCACAAGTGCTTGTAACAGCCTAGACTGAATAAATAATTTTGATTTTGATTTTTATCGTTGTTTAGTTTATAACAACGCTGCTGTATAGCAGTCAGTGTCTTCTAGCAGTAACTCAAAGTCTCTTCTACTAATTTTAAAGAAAAGGCGACAAACATAACCTACATCCTCGCTATACTCAATTATAAACGCTATGCATCTTCATTAACATAACTAATGTTGGGGCAATGGGAATAGACTCACTCAAAGAAAACATGTCAAACATCAACAAGTATGAATTGGTACCAACGACTGTAAATACAGCCAAGAGCACCAGATTAACGTGCCTTCTAAACCACGATGGAGCTATAGATAATAAATTTTTGGTCACCCATGCATTTACTAGCCATTGAAAAGGATGCTTAGTATCGACAATCTCAGACCGAACGCACCAACTACAGCTCAAAGATATTCTAAACATACCTGATCTAAAATGATAGGATTGCCTTCATAGCCTCCAATGTTGCATGATTCGCCTTGAATCTTCAAGTAAAGATTGACGTCATGATCCCTTATATTAGGCGCGCCCCGTATCTCTGGGATTGCATCCGCCACAACGTAAGCGTGCTTAAACGGAATTAGAGGAAGGGAAGGGACGCCAGCGAACCGAGCCACTCTTGGACCCCATGCTCCTATAAACATTACGAATATATTAGGTCAGTGGCTCTCAACCTTTTTTGCTGGCGACCAAAAATAATAATATTTATTTAAGTCCAGGACATTGACCGATTTATTGATGTTTCAGTGTTAATAAAAACTATATAATTATATTATACGTCCGTGGTTTGCTCAAAGCGTCTGTTAAAGATTCCCACGACCTTATCTATTACTAGCCTAAGAAATACTGCATTAGGTACCCCAAATCGTCTTAGATCTGGGTACTGTGCGACTTTGTTATTTCAGATTTCTTAAACACAAATTCTTTTGGTACTTAATTCAGCAATTTAACTTTTATTTATTTATATATATATGTGATTTATTTAATATGTTTAACATGAATTTATAAACATGCTAATAAATATGTTTTTATATGTTAGAAGTAACTGTACTACGATGCGATCAAAAACAAAGACAAAATAATTACCTCCACAATTGACCACACATTTAGTTCGGATGAATCCTTTGTCTGTATGGACCCCCGTCACTTCTTTATTTCCAAGAATATTATGAGTGTAATGGATATCCAGGACTGGTGTTTCTTCATATACCTGAAAAGAAACTAAGACATCAACATATCTCACAAACAGCAAATAGTACTGCCTAGAAACGCAGAAGCTTCCTTAAAAAGCTACTGCTATTCTGGGCGAAAACCAACAACTGGATATTGTCTTTGTGGCCTTCGAGTAAGATGCTGGATCTACCTATGCGTGGACTTTTATCTGTCCCCGAAAAAGTCATTTCAAGCAACATTTTAGATCAATTCCAATAAATGAAATTATTTCAAGAACACTTACTTTGCCCCCATTTTTAGTAGCCACCTTCAGAAGAGCATTGCAAGCCATAGCAGGGTCTATTGTTCCGTCTTCTGGGCAATATAACGCCATTTTGAATACAGACGGATCCAAGAGTGAAAACTTCTTCTGGGCGTCTTCAGGACTCAGTACTTCGCTTGGAATACCCATGGCTTTACCTAAGGTGTGTAGTCTCATGTATTCTTGTGTTCGCACCTGGAAAATAGGACAATATAACAAATCACAGTTTTACATTTTCTCTTAAATAGTTCGTTGGCGTAGTGGTCAAGCGCCGCGACTCATTGTTGTTAAGCAACTTTCGCAAGGGTCGGTCATGGAATGGGTGATCAAAAAATTATAACTCGAACTACTCCGTGCTTAAGAAGGTACGTTAAGCCGATGGTCCCGGCTGCATCTGCAGTCGTTAATGCCTTCCAATCGGCACTGGGTCAGCGTGGAGAGTCATGTTCAATCCTCCATAACCATCCATACGGAAGGCCCCACTCCTGCAGTGGGGCCGTAAAAAGGCTGATGATGATAATAGTTTTTCACTTTGAGTAGAAACAAGCTTACTAAACTCTTACTCATTTACTTTACAATAAACTAAAATTAAAATTAAACTGAAATAAATACCAAAATCTGGTGAATACCGAACTATACAAATATATATGTATTTACTTGTATCTTTAAAATTTGAAACGATACAAACGTCCTTTAATACCGAACTAGTATTATATTAACTGTTCCTAAAAGTACCAAAAGTGATGGTTACACCCAAAAGTCAAGTATCATCAAGAATTAAATGTACGGTTATCTTTTGCATCTCTACTTAGTTAAAGTACGCACTAGTTACCTTACTGCGTGATATGAACATGCCTCCATTATTAATCCAACCGGCGTAATCTTCGCATTCCTTCTCTAACTCGCTATAAATTCTCCTTGAATCTTTCAGCAGATTTACTTCTAAGTCGCATGGCCTCAAAGACCAAACTAAACCTGAAGGTTATTGAATTTCTTATTTTTCATTTGCGTGTTAAAAATGCTATCATTTTTTTATTAAGTGTATAGGAATAAAATCTAAAAATGAGTGTAGTTCAGTATTTGTTATTTGATGGAAGAATTGGAGAGTCTTAGAAATTAATACTTTTTTCCAGAAACAGTCATCTCATAGAAAAAGTCAGCTTGAAGTACAATTGATCGATTTCGTCAATTGATTACAAAAAACCGGTACCGCGTATACTGTACTTGTATTGGGTTGGTCCATGCAAGTTAAAACACCACTTACTTTTGATTATAATTTTTATTTAAAACCAAGGCAATTATAACAAGATACCGTGATAGCAGCAGAGTTAAAAAGGGAAAAGAGAAAAGTAGTGTTGCTATTACTTAAAAATAACATAAAATTTTATGGTCGGGTTGCCGACACCGGTGCCGGTGTTAACAATATTGTATTTAAGTTTTCATTTTATATTTCAATAAAGTAAAAAAAATCTTTATTTTTAAATGAAACAACTTTTAAACGGTTTCATCGCGTTTCTATTTAGTTTTATTGGCGTAAGGACTAAAGTGTTAATTGTCTTTTTAATTTTGAGTATAGCTAACCTTTAAAACAACTATCGGACACAACTCCCCTAGATATTTGATAATTATACTTATTAATTATCAAATATCTGGAGGAACGGCACTTGGCCGCTGATTTAAATATGTCAACAAGTAAATATGCATAGAATGTTCAAAAGCCAGTCACATAAAATCAGTAAAGAACCTTAGACTTCGATTGACTTTGCTTAGAGATTTCTTGTTTTGCAGCTCCATCGGGACTTGGCAAATTTTTATACAGCATGTTCTTGATGGGATAACTTTAAATGATTTGTAATATAATAAATATTGTTCAATTAACTTTATTAACTACATACGAAACAACTAAAGAATACATGGATGAAAATATTATATTTAAGTAAATTCTAAGGTCTGTTCTAGCCCTTATACTCGTATCGATCGCTCAATTGACCAATTTATATCTATTGAGCGCACACTCTAATTTAGAACGCATTTAGTGTCGTATCGGATGACGTTTTCATAATTCTACTGCTTGTTATAAAATTTTTACAAAAAGCAAATCTGTAAAAGTAATAACTCAAACATAGTCCCATAAATTTTAAGTTCGATAACAAAATAGATAGACAACAGACAGGCAGATAGAATATTCTTTATTGTACACACAAAACAAAATACACTTATATAACGAAAACAGAAGATGTACAAACTACGTACGACCTTATCACTAAAAGTGATCTCTTCCATCACACACAGATTCATCTATAGTTACTCGAAGATGATAATTTAGATTAGGGGTCACAACCGCTAGATATAAATAAATCTTACTTCTATGTTTATCGTGTCAACAAATTCATATCAAATATATTCCTCACTTATTTAATTTAGTTAAGAGATATATCTCGGTAGCATTGATAAAATTTGGATTGTTTTTACCTGCAGTGTGCCATGTTGTACCGCTTGTTATTTTCGCCCTTTCCAAAAGAACTGCGTTGATTCCTCTTTTTGTTAATTGATATAATGTGTTCGATCCCGCAATCCCACCGCCTACAACGATTTCAGTAATATCTATCGTTACATTCACATATTTGAAAGCCCAGTAAACGAACACTACTTTTTATTATAATTTATCTCATAATTTTCCATGTACTGGTCGCATAGTATATGCATATTTTGTTAAAATTTTTAATCATCCTAGGGATATTATATCACAAATAAAACAATCACTCACCGACAATAACAACTTCCGCTGAAGATACAACTTCTTTCGTAGAGTTCAACCTATACTGTACTTTGTTCAAATATGTCACTGCCTTTCGTCTCACTCTCGCATCTCTGATAACTTTGAACATTTTTTAATAAATACTTACGACTAAAGAGGATGTTTCCCTAACCACGACTGACCTATGAATGATTAGAATTGGTAGTGCGCTTATGTGGAGCAATGCGTACGATGAATCTTGTCTCGCTTGTAAACAAACGATATGTTTCAGTTGTTCAGAGATGTATTCAGAACTAAATTATGATTATATTAATAATATCAATGAACACTATACACTTAGGTATATGATATAATTGTAGTACATTTCTATTATTTCCTAATTATAACTAATCAAAATAAGGGCATTAGGTACTTCGCTCTACACACAGGCCTTACCAGTAGGTATTGCAAACATGTTTCACCTTTAATGTCCAATAAAAGGTTCTTGTAACCTATTTAATTTTTCTTGCATATAAAAGTTAACGTTTTGTTACTTTTTGGAAAGTCACAATTTACTATTGTTGACGAAAAAATTAAAAGAGTTTGAAATTAATGTAATAATATAGATACACGTATATCCACGTGTAGCTCGGTGGCGTATTGGATAAGCGTCGCTGCGATAGTTGTCGTTAAGCATCTTTTGCAAGGGTCGGTCACGGAATGGATGACCAGAAAATGATTATCTCGAGTTACTCCATGCTTCGAAACGCACGTTAAGCCGTTGCTTCCAGCTGCATTTATAGTCGTTAATACCCTCCAATTCGTATTGGGCCCACGTGGAGGGTCATGGACATCTTCCTTCATTCATAAGGAAGGCCTGAGCCCCTGCAGTGGGGACGAAAAAGAAGAGTCCAGTAACAATTTGGATAATTAAATATAAAGCAGGTAAAGATCCAAAATTTCATAATGATGAAATATTTGATGGAAATGGTAAATCTGATGATGATGATTTGCAAGTTTAGGAAGAAGCCTGTTAAGAATGATATAAGACCTTCCGAGAACTCTCTCTAACGCATGAAAAATGCAACCTTAAACACACCCATCCTGAAAAGGACAGGCTTAAGCGAGGCCGGCTTACTTGGTAAAAACCGCTGCGAGTGCCCTTCAGGTAAGGATCCAGCGAAAAGCTCACCTGGTCAAGGCCCTTTCGGGACCTGCCAGCGACACAAAAAAATATGTTATAATAGAATACTAGTAACTAAGCTAAACCATAAACTACCAATATGTTCTATAAAAAAATATTAACAATACCAATACCGGATCCAAAACTTGATACTTACGACATAATGAAAACAATATCTCGTCAAAGCTCTCAAGTCAAAGTTCAGTTACTCGTTATCATTGTTATTATTATTCAATACATCACGTTTTAGTTTAATCTTTAACGTAATAATTATTGTTTATATTTAGTAATTAATAAGTTTTTTATTTATTTTTTTTATTTAAAAAAAATGACAAGCTTTCAATTAAATCGTAATATTCTCAGCGATTTTTTTCATCTGATACCCAACTACATCTTGAGTAGCAATATTGGGTTTCGAATGAAGGAATTTTATTAGTTTCGTATTTTTTTCTTACCGAAGCCTCCCATTTGGTAACCGTATTATGACAGACAGTACACAAAAAATATCTAAGCAGCGATCTTGGGCCGTCCGCCACATTGAATTTCATATTACCTTATGTAACTTAATTTTGTTGTTCGAGTAGGTGAAACAATAGGAAAATATTAAGTGACCGTTGAAAGCAAAGGTGTCAGCCTGCGTGTTCATGGAACCCTTGGTGCGTTGTATATATAGATTGTATATGTTAAAGTAAGCATAACTTTATTAGAAATGAGATTATCATATTATTTTACTGATACCGCCTTTTGAATTTACTATACATTTTCACTTGTTTCTCTGATAGACAATGCCTATTTGGCATTAAGTTCGCCGTTTACTAATTTATAGGCATAAAGATTTAATAAATAAACCTCCTTTTAACTCTGTATCGTTTCCGCTGAATTGCTTACTGTTTATTGTACTTACGGGATGAGGTCAGCGACCTATACAAAACGACCCGTACAAAAACACGTAGCACTTCGCATTAGCTTTAAATGATTAACCCATGACGTTCCCTTTGAATGAAATCAGATAAGTATAGAACGGACTGATTTATTGAGACAGTGTTATGCAGTTTCTTACACGAGGCTTTACTCAACTCTCATACTTAATCCATTCTCAAACGATATTGAGAGTATTTCATAGTTACCAATAGTTCGTTAACAGAGTCATCTTGAACAATTATAATAGTAATGCGTTTAAGTTTTCTAACATTTGTAATAAAAAACAGTTTTAATTTAATATTATTTATTTACACATAAAATTTGTTACACTAAGTATTTACATAATACGAATAGTATATACATATTTTTATTGTTTCAGTTTCGTTATCATGCGCAATCGCACAAAGCAGACAGACGTACCGATTATTATACCCTTATAACGGCGATGTCAGGATCACTCTCTATTTTTAAAAGATTTTTAGTATAAGATTTTACCTGCAGGTTGCCCCTAGCGGCAACTATCAAGAATTACAATTTTCCATACAAACTTTAAACGCGTCCAAACGCGTGGATACTCTCGTTATACAATTATTACAGTATATGATTATTATTATATTTAAATGCTAAAAACAATTACAAAATGTCCCAATTTAATGAGTAGCAGAGAGAGATCTTGCTATCTTGACGTTTTTATTTCTTTGCTGCCCAAATTAAAATGGAACGCTATACGGGTTCAGCAGATGTTGCAGTAACCGATGTCAGTTCAGGTGCACTGAAAACTGACCACACTGTTTACACGGAGTCAGTAACGAGTCAATAATCGTGGTAGCGTGTACGGTTAGTTTACAGAGAGTTAATACTGTCTTACATCGAATTCCGAATCAGTAACCCACCTTGTGTAAACTCTGCTTAAAGACGACGGCGCGCTGACAACATGTCAATATTAGTTAGCTCAATGTATAAAGACTTTATTTGTGGTATAATATACCAAATGAAGCCAAGCTCATCTCCTAAATCTATCTTTCTTAGGAAAGGGGGATTTCGATATACATGAAATGTGTAGTAAATACTGTTTTTTTTTTTTCATTTCAATATTATAAACCTAAAGTTCTAATGGAAAAAATTTCTTTTAATCACTTTTATTACGATTTGTCTCAATCGTAGGAGCAATTTTGACGGTTCAGTCAAAATACACAAGTAAAAATTTTATCTATATTCTTTTTTTTAGTATTGATATCTGTTCATTTTAAAGTTATTTTGCTAATAAGAATTGTTTCTCTCAACATAATATGTCTTAGATAACAATATAATATAAATACTATAGCTACGAAAATAATATAGATACTATATCTAAAACCTAAAATTCTCGCTACACAATGTTTCGTTTTACAATAGTAAATAATTGTTTCCTCGTATTAACATAGCTAACTTCGATAAAATCAAAAGTAACATACCTATGGCTTTATAATATCCAAAGATCAATATAGTCAAAATTGCTAAATAAATTGTGACCTAAAAATATTTAAAATAGCAATAAATTACAATGAAAAAATCTACATCGAAAACTCATTCAGTAAAACGATCATACTATTTTAATACTATCTATAGTTCATATTTTAGAACATACCAAATGAAATGAAATCCACACACAGACTAGGATTCCGTAGTATCGACAATAACAACATTATATATATTTTTACAGTGTCTTTTTTCACATATTCAGAAATAAACTTTCAGAGAAATGGTTGATTCAACAAAATTAGCAATTTAAAGTAACATAATTCGTAAAAAGATCCATTAATATTAGTTAGATCCAATAGTCTTCATAAACCTATATTTTCGCACGATATATCCCAACAGACAAGAAAAGAAAATTATCCCACTCAAAATTTATCATTTTTTTTAAGTGTAAAAAAAAAACCTTTTTAGCGTCTTGTTTAATGTGTATACGATACTGAATTATTGCCCTTTAACATTAGTTAGGTTAAATACAAGGGTTGTTGATTGACTACGGAACCCTAAACCCTATAAATAACATGCAATATACTCATCAGGTATTCATAATGCTTAAGGTAATTAATGATTTTTGGCAAGTGTTTTTATTTATATTAACTACTTAACTAAATTAAGAATAAACTTAATTTAAATTTAAAAACTAAACTTTTTAGATATGGGTACATGAAAAGCATGTATTTAAATATACTAAATCGTCATATAATATAAAGCTTTCTAAAAGAATGTTAATCTCAAAAATTTAAATAAAATCATCTTAAATTACTTTTTAAATGCACTAAATAATGTTTCACTAATTATATTTTTCTGGCACATTAATACCAAAACAATACAAGTAGTTTTGCAACGCCTGCAGTCAATTTGACTAAGTAACAATCCTTATAAGAATATAATATAATCTTTACTTATACTTTCATCTGACTAATTAACCAAGATTAAAATACAAATACTTGCGGCACAAAGCAATTCGGTTTAGATTATATATTTTTTTTTAATTACCGGAGGAGCTCTACAAACAAAATTATATTTTGAATTTACAAAATTAAATTACAATACAAAATTAAATTTGAATTTACAAAATTAAATTTTGAATTTACAAAATTAAATTTTGAATTTACAAAATTAAATTTTGAATTTACAAAATTAAATTTTGAATTTACAAAATTAAATTTTGAATTAAATTTGAAATAATTAAGGTATAATTGAGTATACTAAATCAAAAACATTTTACACTCACAGATAGCCTATCATGTTACTCACTATAGGTGCATACATTTCAATTTATCTTATTAAATTTACACATAGAGATACTATCAGTCACATACATTAATGTTGCTAAATTTGAAGTTTAATAAAAATTAACACAAGTCGATAATTATTCTTTGACAACAACTTAATGATTTAACAACACTGAGTGTAATTAAATACAACTCAATGGCATCCTCAAATAATTGTTTAGTTCGGTAGCCCTATAATAAAACCTTAATGGTTTTTTGGATGTAAAACATACATTAAATTATAAAGATTATAATGTAACTCCTGGATATTACTGGATACCATCAAGACGATTGATGATCAGCGAATTTTGTAATTAACAACAACTGCAACAAGTATACGTAGATCAATTAATTATGACAACGACTGCGGTTCATTTCGCTCGGAGATTCATTAGGAGTGTTACTTTTTTAAATAGTGTTACTTTTTTTTTTAAATTCAGAATTGAGTACGAAATATTGGCTTCTAATATTATGATTAACATATAAATACGACGACAAATCGTATGTCATAAAACTCTCTTCAAAATGCTAAAATTACTTGTCACATAAGTGCATGTGGGATGTATTGCGGAACAATAGAAGACTTGCTAGTTTATCATAATCATAAAGACAAAAACCTCTTAGATTACAAAATGTTCCAGAGAACGGTCCCCCGAATGCAGTGAGAATTTTGTTTAGTCAAACCATAATGCAATGTGTTCCTTTTGTTTTACTTAGATTTTTAATTTTCTTTTTTATTTTTTCTTTAATCTGATACCCATATTGTTATAATTAAACAAAAAAAGCATACTTTTATAAATGGCGTCATTGACCCGCCATATTGAATATTTATATAAATACGTATAGTTAGCAAGTGTCAATCGGAATGATGTAAAATTTTCAATGATACTCTATAACATTTATATCCATTAAGGGCTTGTTTCACCACTTGCTGAATAAAGTTCTAGATAGTTATTTAGCTATCTGATAATTAAAGGTCACTGATATTATCCGTCAGATAGTTCTATATGAGAGACCAAAATTTGCAATTTATCTGGCAGATAAGTTTCTGATAAGACTATCAGGAACTTTAACAGCAAGTGGTGATACTGGCCCTAATGCCCGTTTTTACTAAACTTAGGTGTCGCCCAAATCTGTCGCCTAAATATTTACGAATCGCCTAAGATAAAAATGCATTTCACCATTGACTAGCAACCATCAAACGAAATTATACTAGTTCTAAAGTTATGATATCATTTTCGGCGCCTTGCGCTAGGCATTTTCGTACATGACAGGTCATAAACATGTCAAGAGTAAAAAAAAAATCTTTACTTCAAATTCTTACTTCAACATCAATTCAAAATCTGCTTAGGCGATTCGTAATATTAGGAGATTCCTAGTTAAGCTATGCCTTATTCTAGGTGAGTTACAATGGGTGTAATTTTTTTTAAAACTATGGTGTAATAAAGAAACTCAACCTTAAACACAATACACTCCTTTCTTTGTGCAGCCGTGTAAAAAGAAATATGTGTTTAAACTTACAGAATGTTAGTTTCACACGTGGTGTGGACTGGCAACCCTGGGCGGTGTTAGTCCGAGCCGGTGTTGCCTCGCCGCGTGATCTCCCGCCGCCGCCGCCGCGGCCGCTTCTAGTTGTGCACGCAACGCAACAAGTTCGCGTGTCCGTTGATATATTGGATCCTAGATACAAAAAAATATATTGTCACTTCACTATGACAATACCTTTTTAATAGGGATGACAACAAATTTTTGTTTGTTTGTCCATCAGGTAAAATACTTGTTTTTGCGGTTACAATGAATTACGGCGAAATATTGAGTTTAAGTGTCGCATGACGTCATGATTTTGTACAAAACTGTGACAGCGAGCCCCCACTCCTCGACTTTAATGCCTATTATCTGAGTCATTGTTTGTTTACATTGAAGCAAAAAAATACGTATCTTACATTTTTCTATTATCTGAGTGACGGATAAACAGAATTTCTTTTTTTTGCACCCAGTCGTCATCCCTATTGATCTTTATTAGACACAACTTGTTTTCCCGCGAATTCGTATGCGTAATTTATATATATGACTAGGTCATCTGCATAAGATGGAGCTTCGCGTATATGAAAGATTTTTTGAAATCAGTCCAGTAGTTTCGCAGCAAACATATAAACGATCAAATCTTTCCTCTTTATAATGTCATTATAGGTAGGGGTGTCAACTTTCAAAACCTCTAAAGCATTTTTATATAAAAACGGAGTCGGGCTTTGAAAATTTAAATAATATAGGCCTTTTGAAATTCAACGACCTTTAAAAACATTTTTTTTCTTTTGTTGAGAATTAAAATGTGAGCAATATAAACTTTTAAACGGTTTCATCGCATTTGGATTCACAGGATTGGGTTACAATTCTAATTTCATCGATAGGGAAGGCCTTCTGTGAGGACATTAATATGCAAAAAAATATCATAAACTTTGTATTTAAATTAGATAGAAAAAATAAACTTTTGATGAGACTGCGACGTATGTACCAGAGCTACAAAAATATAGATAATGCATCTTAGGTATTAATTATGCGAAAATTATGAATACAACAGAAGCAATGTGAGCTCCGTCGTCGTCATAAATTATCGAAAAATGTGTTTCTTTAGTTCTATTATCATTTCGAAAATAGAGAAGAATTCGTTTTTCGACAAATAGAATAGGCTTTCAGATGTCATGTTAATTCGTACGTGTAGTTAGTTACCTGTTGCCTCATTGTTGGATTCCATCTGCAATACAGTGCTTTCCAAAGCTTAATGACTCTCAATGATGCCACCGGTACTAAAACCACTTGGGGCCTTGAGTACGGCGACGGAGGCGAATTGGACCCAAACGACGATGGACCCCAATACAACGGGTTCAAATAGAGATCCTGACGGCTATTTATGTATGACCATAACGAGACGGTTTTGGTTTTCACTTCTGAAAAAAAGTATGATCAATTTACAATATTGTTTAAATAAAATTTTAATAAATTGAAAATTCATTTAAAAGCATACAGGTCAGCTTTAGTTAATCATGTCTTTAACCATATCACGTGATTACTAGACGAATAATAAAAACAGGTGATGAAATTTGAAGCACATTTTTAATAATTCAATGAATGCGAATGTGAAAATTTTATAAATTTTAAATTTCAACCATAAATATGACATTTGAAAGATATTTACGAACTTCACGCTTCAGCATCAGATGACATATGATATAGATTGCGCTCACGTGACTTATAACTTTAAAAACTTACAATAGCGATGCGATTTTTTTTTAAAGATATTTTCAACGATATCGTTAAATTAACATTAATTGATATTGTCTAAGCTAAGCGTTAGGATTTAAGTTACTGCGTTTTCATTGTTGCAATTGCGATTTCCAATACTACATAATTACATAAATCGATAACGCGATAGTTTTTTAAATAATACAATTAGTCCACAGTTCCTATTCTTATTTTGCTCACACATTTCCCCCTGAGTTAAATATGTTTACAATTAAATAATTATATTATCATACAAACATAAATATTGGTTATTATTTAACATTAATACAAACAACCGTCAATATAGCAGATTTATACTTTAAAGCGGCCAATATGCAACCTCCAATAGATTAAAAAATAACGAATAATATTTACCTTCTTTAACTCTCTCTCGTTCAGTGTTGAAAAGGAATGTGCCGAATCTGCACGAGTACAAATGATCAACTATAGTTATGAGCAGTCTCTCGGTAAATTCGAAAGCGGTCGGAAACTGTTGTTGTAATTGCCAAACGCAATCGACCCATTGGACGAATACAGGTGACCGATCCGCGTCGGAATGACGCTCATCACCGTGTCCGATACGCTAAAAAAATAAAATCACTATTCCAATATTTTCATAAGCATAAAAAAGGATCAATTACATATGCATATCCGTGTAAAGTCCAATCGTAGACAACTTTTTAAAATATTTTTATTTTATATATATACGAGTACATGAAATTTATTTAAAAAATATTATTCACATATAATAACTTAAAATCTAAAAATAAATTATATTTCAAAATTGCCCGTGATTGCTCCTCTTCTATCATGGCGTCCTTATGACGTCACGGCACTCTAAACGAATGTATTTCTATGTATGCTATAAGGTTGAATTCTCTGAGTCCTGATATGAATAATAAGGGTCACGCCACGCGCTGTTTGCGATCACGTAACAACGGACATAAACAAATTTGATTTTCATAATTAGTTAAAGCAATATTATAAATGTGTGATTACCGGTAATAGTATATTAAACACTCCCAGAAAAGAAATAATATACATTTATTGTTGTTTACTGTCTACACCCGTATTTCGTGTGTTGATCTCTATGCCTATAGTCTTTTTCACATGACTATAGTCTTTTTCATATGGTGATGTTTAGGTTTTCAGTAATGTAATAAATATATATTTTTTTTTTATTCATCGGGATTTAATAGGATTATGAGTGAGCCTTATACTCACCAACTGGAATTTATGTCCAAATGACAGCCACTCTTTCTCTATCAAAACTTCGAAGCCCCTTAATGTACGGTAATAAGGATCAAGCATTAACATCGCCAACGCAGTCAACTGAGCGGTGCGATCCCAACCATCTGAGCAGTGGACCAAAACAGATGTCTTGTGGTTCTCCACCTAAATTTGAGAAATATAAAACATAGTAACAAAACAAGAAGAAGGAGAAACATTGTTGATCTCATAATCATAAACAAAAAACAAGAACGTACATTTTAATGTGTTCTTTAGAACACAATATACATATACAGGAGAACAAAAAATAATTAGATAATACATGTTTATATAAAAGAGATCAATCAGAACTCTGCCTGAGCTGGTGTTGGTGTGACCTCCTGTGTGCCACTTCTTACAGTCGCTTACAGTGACTTTGTATGCTTTAACTATAGTTCTAACAGGCATTTTTGAATCGCAGAATATACCCGTTAATGATCTCTTAGCCATCCCGTTCTTATTCTGTTCTCAACATCTTTCATCAAATTTATAGTATAGTGAAGTCTATGACTATGAAGTATTTAGTCATAGACTCAATTTATAGGTATATCGTTAATGGAAACGGTAACATCGTTTGTATTCCCTAGAAAAGTTACATCACATGTATTCAGTTTTTTCTTTGCGGACTCTAAGGTCTTTCTTCTCCAAAGCATCACACAAAAGTGACAGTTCCGCATTTGCATCTTGTAAGGATTCCACTATTAGAACTATATCATGCGCATACAGTAATGTAAATGGTGTTGGTGACTGCAGGTGCCCTGTTACGTAATTTATAAAGATGTCAAGAAGTAGTGGACTAAGAGCTGAACCTTGATGTACACAAACTACTACATCAAATAGTTAACTCGTGCCAAGGTAGTGATCACCGGGATTTTTATATTAGTAAACATATCTTGGATTAGAAGAATGTAATGTTCGGGCGCATATTAAGCTCGCCATATTAAATGACGTGGCACTCTGTCGAAACCTCAAAGAAACCAGATCTAGATCAATCTAGACCAGATGCTATGCCATATTTCATTACCAACAATGCTCGTCGGACGACCGGAACGACGTGCATCTTTGACATAAAACATTTCCGGACTGAAAACGCTTAGACCAAATTTGTGCTACTCTCATAGAAACTGCATTAGGTCCATAATCGTCAAAAATTTTTTTGCGGCTTGCGTTGCTTTGCACATTGAGACTCACTCATTTTGACAGTAAGAAAAACAAAGTTTTCTTTCTTTAAAATTTTAACTTTTTAATGGTACCCGAACCAGTCAGATACAAATGGTATAGCCAGAAAGATTTTATGACAAGTTTACGCATACTATATGCGAAGACTTTTTCCCCATGAAATATTTGAACTACACTTATTAAATATGTTCTTGAGCACAGTCGCTGAACAGAAAGAATTTCGCACAATGACCCTGAACTACATATATCTTTCATATTAATATTGCGCTAGCACAGATGCCTCTAACAAATTTTTAATAGTAAAGTGAACCCACAATGTTTAGGATATCTATCAGTAGATATAAAGGTCAACGTAAGGAATTTCTCCCTGTTCGACGACCGCGCTATATTTAAAGTTACCTTGTTAACAGACTCACCTTGTCAACAATACGGACTGCTCCAGCTAAGATGCATTTAATATGTTTTAGCCAACAAGTTGCTTCAATCCCACTAAACCATCTGGAATCATATTTGAAGTTTTACTCTACGCCATTCTAGAATTTATTATACGGTGCATGGATATTTATTCTCATAGCATAATTTCTGCAGTATCGTAACAAAATTTTACCTTGCTTGATCAATCTGTGGAAAACAAAGCTCTTTCAACTTGCGCAAGCTCTCTCTCATAACGTGAATGTTGTGAATATCCAAGAACACGAGTTCAGCATTCTGATAAGCATCCTCCGATTCATATCTGTAAGAACATAACTAGTTGATATGAATTGGGAATTGGTATAAGACCAACATTGCGCATGTAGTGTCACGAAACTAGAAACAAGTTTCACGAAAGTAATTTTGGCACACGTGAAACTACTTCCGTGTATGCAATCAATAATATCTCCGAGGCAAAATACTGCGTCAACACCGAAGCTTTACTATGCTAAAACTATGAAATTAAATGCGTTAAACTACTTTAAATAAAAGAATAATACACGAGACATGTTACTACTCCCTGTGATATTTTGTTTTTTTTTTTACGAAACACGAAATATCCCCTAAACCACCCCATTCCGTTAATGGAGGGCCCCTTAGCATTGTTGCTTAGTAATTTATTTAATATTAATTGCACTAACCCTCCTCCCTTAGCTTTATTGGCAATAGCATTGGCACTTGGTCGAGCGTCCATAATGAACAACTTATGTCCTTGAGCATTTGCTTCCATTATTTGTTGTATGTAGCGTTCATCCTCACGACTGCGTTTGCCACTCACCTATTCAATAAGTCATACAAGGTTAAACTTAGTGGTATGAGGTTTGGTCCAAATATTATACTAGTATACTAGTATTTCGAACGATATATCATTTGAAATATCTCAATTAGAGAAACATTTGTTGTATGAAAACAATGATAAAATCCATGTCAATATAAAGATATGATAGATAGTCCAAAAATAGGTTAGTCGACATTTCTTTATTATTTTATTAATAAATAGTCTATTAATATCTGAGAAATAATGTAGTAACAGCATGTCTGCGATTAATAGTTTCGGAGATTGGATGCTGTTTGTAGAACTACTACTTCGGCTAAGTCGGCCGAAAACGCTCCCCAAAAATACAAGGCACTAAGTGACGTCACCCAGTGCAACGGTAGCGAAAAACGTATGGGCGACTAGGCAATCTTTGTAATATCTTTGTTATTTGTGCATTTATGTTTATAGCTGTTATAATGAAAGTTGTAACGTTTTATGTAACGAATAATAATTTAATACCATATTTCTTTTTTCAAGTTTCCAAAACGTAATATTTCCCAAATTTTGTTAGATATTTAGAAGTTATAATGGTTCATATTTTCCAAACATATAACAGAAACCTGTATTTCCACTTGTAGGACACAAGCCTACTATCCTGACAACATTCTGCTTAGAAATCCTTACTTAAATTGCGAAGTAGCATCGTGCGCTGTAATACATTTGTTTCGTGAATATTTCTGCATGGATACGAATACTTACCCCTACTAGAGGTTGACTACACCGCGTAATCGTTGCTTGAGAGCTCGGATGTATCCATGCCAACACTGGTATACGTCCGCGAGATCGAAACGCGGCAACTGACCTCAACAAGTCATCGTTAGCACCAGCCGGCACCGCCCATACGGACGGATAGCTATCGCATACCTCGTATTTATCATTTATACGCGTTATACGCCACATGTCATTGTTGACTCCCTAAAATAAATGAACGAAAATTAAAAACTATTAAATTTTAAGGTTGAAAGTGTAACGGATCATTTTTTTTTCACATGTTTTTTTTTTACTACGACTCGACATGCTTAGCCGTGATCCCTTGATCGTAGGCGAAAGAATGAAGTATCAGATATGTGTTTTTTTTTTTTTATTTACCTACATGTTACATTTAAACCTACACTTTAGGACCTTTTTTAAAGTAAAAAAACTTTATTAAATCCCCTTTGTGCACAAATATATACTTCTTTCCAGGCATCCCCATAATAGTGTCATCTGCATACAATAGACTAAACTCGTATATATAGCACAGAACTGGTGGGACCTAAGATGCTGTCCTGCGGAATACTGAATGGTTACTTCATTGCTACTATTGCTACCAATTTTAACACATTGCGTTGGATTTTGTTAATAGTCGATCAACAATTCAAGTTGTTTACCTCTATTTGTTCTAATTTACTTTGGAGGTGATGAAAAGAAACAGTGTCAAATGCCTACCTAAGGTCTATAAATATTGTAAGAGATATTGATTTTGAATTAATTTTGTTTAACCATAAAATCTATAAATTCATGTACTACATTTTCAGGTGATCTACCCTTTCTAAATCCAAATTGCGACCTAAACAAAAGCTTATCTGTTTCAAGGTAATTTGTCAATCTATTATTTATTACCTTTTCCAATAATTAAGAATAATTTGTAAAAAAAAGATAAATTGGTCAATAGTTATCAACATTATTTCTTTCTTTTGAAAGATTTTTGTGAATTGGTATAACAACAGAATTTTTTAGTAAATCCAGACAAATAGCAAGCTCCCATATAACAAATGTGATATTTTTTTTTGCTCGTTTCCAGAATGAAACAATGTGGTTTAATAACAATAATTATTACTTGCCACAAACCACTTTCCAAAAGAAGGGTGTACATTTTTATATTTTAAGTAACTATTTATTACACCTATTTTTTAAATAAATGAATATGCACCATGAGCCTTATTGATTGAAAAAAATTTGAACCACATCATTATTTAATTTTTTGAAAACTTAATGAATTAAATATATAGTCAAATGAAATGAACAACACATCAGGTAACAAACTTAGACAGGTAGGTGAGTATCCTGGTGACTCAAAAATAGTTAATTTTTGGTGGGTAGAGTCCCACACACCTCTTAAATACATGCCACGAGGTAAGGCAGGATTTAAGTATTTTTCTGTAAGATACATATTTTAGGCAGTTACCATTCGTTTCAGTTCTGCTATAGGTTCATAAACATGCCAACCGTCTTCAGGGAAGTGTTCAGAATAGCTGAACGCAAACATAGGTAATTTGTGTGATAAAGGAAATGCTAGTTGCTGCAATTTCTCAAAAATCCCACGACGTGAATGATTTTCTTGTTTATGGGCAAAACGTAAATTCCTCATGTCCTGAAACAACCAATTATCAATAGTATGAGAATAAGGTCTATGTAAATGTGTTTTAATTAAAAGTGAGTGAATATAAGTTCCTTTTTACCTTACAGAATAGTTCAATACCATATGAATTTTCTCCTTTTGAAGAAGCTCCTCCAACTTTCTCAATGCGAGATACCTGCAGATATATAATCATAAAAGTTAAAATTACAATTCACTTCATTACCACTTGAACATATCAAATTATTCAAAAATATATATGAGTTGTAAGTGTGAAATGTTGTATGAAATAATAAAACTGAAATGAAAACTTATTACAATTCATTAAAATTGTTATTAGTGTACATTACCCAAACAAATTTTCAAATTTATGACATTATTAGGGCTTAAAAATCATTAAACCTTAATGGATGTTTTCCCAAATAGGCAAAAAGCTTTTAGAAATCTATAATATATAAAGCTTAATTTTGATATTATAAAGATGAAACATTTGATTGTTTGCTTGTTTGTATATTTATTTGTTTGCATCGAACAGGCTCTGAAACTACTGCACCATATTTACAAATTCTTTCACCGATGGGTAGCTACATCATATAGGGTTGACATAGGCTATCATTTACGCGTGTGTGTCTCAGGCTAGTATAATATAATTCTGTTTAAAAAAATCATCAAATCAAAATTGCATAAAATTCAAACTGATTTGAAAATAACTTATTAATAAACAATGAAGATATTTTATTAAAATTACTTCTCTTGGTCAGGGTGGGTCAGGAAGTAATTATATAGGCTTTTTTTTTTTAAATAATTTTTTTTATTTTATTATCACTTTTCAATTGATTCACATTTTACGAATACTTATTTTTGCTTTTATTTTTTTACTTCATTTAAGATTACAGAGGAGTACTGCTTTCTACTTAAACTTAGTTCTCTTTATTAATAGTATCCATAACCCATAGGTAGACAATAAATAAGTTTTCACTTACAACTCCAAGTGGAACACTCAATGTGCATTGTAAAGCAGCAGCATCTAATGGTCTGAAGTGTAGTTGATAATTAGTCACCTTCAAAATTCCACGAATAGGTCCACTAAATGGACACAAATATGTTACCTCACGAGCTACACTCATTACCTTCTCGCTGTCAAGTAACTGTATATCCCCCAAGACATGTGGCTACAACACAGAATAGAAAAATCATAACTTTGTTTTTCTTTGTACTGTAAATATTAGTCAATTCAAGAAAAGTTACAAAATTTATGAACTTTGGAGATTACGAGCCTTGAATAGATCATTATGATGTCTTTGACTATGAATGCGATTTACAAACAGACAAATGTGAATCGCTCTAGGTTTGCTCATAGTGAAGTATGAAGTTTTTTGAAAATTATTATGACTTATGGACGCAACACGGTCAAAACCACAACCCAGTCGCTCTAAAGTCACAGGAAGTACCAAAGTAACTAATAAAGTGCTCCATTGGAATAAATTAATCACTATAGGAAACTTACGGAGTCTTGTCCGTGTTTTGAATTCAATGAACTTGATTTGGAGTCGGAATCTAGCGAATCTGAGCTAGCATTTTTTGACAGTGAATATTCAGAGTTCAAAATCTCTGAACTGTTGTGTTTATCCATTTTTGGGCAAAAATCTTGTTCAAACAATTAAAACTTAATTATTATGTAAAGATTTAAATTAAATCCTCTGGATGAATTCTTATCAAAACATGAACCTGACGGACAACATGACATGACATCATGACGTCACCTGACATTTTGACGAAAAATAAAAAAAAATGTCGAAGGAAAAAGTAGAACAAGGAACTTGAACAATAAACTGAAATGCTCATATGCACTTCAAATGGGGAAGGATTTTTAAAAAAACGAAGCACTAAAAAAGCACCTCCACTCTAGCAAAAATTGATTTTTGCAGGAAACGAATGGACCAAAGCCAGTCATTTCCGTTCCTTTTAACGAACATATTAAAAAACTGAAATTTGAAAAGTTCGATACTTCGATATCAATACAAATACGAAAAAGTACAAATAAAATATGAGTTGTTTATTGAGTTTTGAAAACTAATTTACTTTTAAACATGAGAGTAAACCGGAAGGGTTGTCATGGAGAAATCAAGAACGTACCGTAGCGACATCTGGTTTGATTTTGGGATAATTTCACTTGTAAGACACAAGCCTATTGCACAAAAACCTTTTTTTTATGGGATAGGGGGCAGACAACAGACTGATCACCTGATGGTAAGTGATTACCGTCACCCATGGACACCTGCCACACCAGAGGGGCTACAAGCGCGCTGCCGGCCTTTGAGGGAAGAATATGCTCTACGCTTGAAAGTTTGAAGGTCGTATCGGTCCGCTGGCGACAAACTGTTACAGAGTTTGATTGTGCGAGGCAGGAAACTTCTAGAAAAACGCGCAGTTGAGGACTTCCAACCAGCCAAAAGATGGGCGTAGATTTCTTGTCGTGTTGAACGATTCCGAACAATTCCTCGGAGCATTCCCCTAAATAAATTTTACATTGCAATAAAGATAGAAAAAATATAGAATAAAAGTTAAAATATACGTTCTGAGCTTAAAACTTAGTTTATCTACAGTGATTTATACATACATACTATCATAAATCAAGGTTGGGTGAATGTGTTCAATGAAAGAGGTTGTCGGCGTAATTCAAAAACTACTATTTATTTCATTTTATTACTACTGGGAATTGTAAGAAAGAGATAACATCACCTGTCGTCATTGTCTTGCTCGGAACATTTTCCCTTTAAAATTTTAAGTTTTGTCTCCTAAGCATTCCAGTTTAGTATGCAAGTTCCTTGCATGTGAGCAACATTGTTTAAACCTTGCCAACTTCATCTTTTTTACCCCATTTTTTAAAATATCACAACTTAGATTAAATAATGTCCACAGCATTAGTATTAAGAAAATCGAGAAATAATATAAGGACTTGAACACATAAAGTCATATTTATGTGATCTATAAGCATCACAAAAACTACGTTAGCAATAAAACGTACTTTTAGTGTGTATGTATTTTATTTATTCTTACTAAAATATTAATATAGCTCTAAGTTTGTTACTGATAGGTAGATATAAATCCTGATTTTAATTATTTACTCTATAGTAAAGACAACAAAGTATCTAAGGTAACTTTGTTAATGTTTGATCAATATCTTTCTATGCTTTATATTTAAGCAAAATGCAAATAATAGATACGATCAACATCAACACATATTTGGCGTATAATCCAAAGAATGATTTGGATCCAAAGAGAAAACTTAAATCTGAATGTTTCAAGTGGGATTCACATCATCCAAAATCTTTAGTATCCTTGTGCATTGAGAAATTAAGTGAAAATTGGTCCGGTATGAATTCTTTGAATAAATTTTCATAATTTGTAAAATTTTCTAAAATAATTATAACTATAACATTTTTCAGGAACACCACGACTCGAGAAATTAGTAGCAAAAGATCGAGAATACTTTTTGAGAATACTGAACACGGATGTACCTCTTCAAATATTAGTAGATAATATCAAAAGCGATATATTTTGGAAAAGGTGTTACAATTCCAAATGGAGTGATACTCCTACCATAACTGAAAATAAAAGATGGATAAACGTGTTCATGGAGAGACATTATGCTGACATTTTAGAGAATATGAACCCACGGCTGTATGATCCAGAGAAGGTTTAAGTTATTTTTCTTATAAGAATAATTATTCTAATTATAATATAGATATTTGTACATTTTTTCTATCCTATATTTTAATAATATATATTTACTGAACAGATCAAAACTCTCGTTCGTTTATGTGGGCCGTACATTCAGTCACTTTCCATTCGTAGTCTGATTCCATCAGATATACCAGTACAAAGAACCACCTCACCAGAAATGGCTGATCTTTTAACAAGTCACAAAACAAATGAAAAAAAAATGGAATCTAAGAGTAGTAGCGACATTTTATCACGAGGTAGCTAACCACCACTATATGTTTGATTAGAATCATGCATTTTGAATTAATTTAATTTATTTTTATTTAAATTTTATTATTTTTTCAGACCACATATCTTTAAATGCTGTTTTAGGTAGCTTGACTAATTTAGTTGAGCTACATATCACTTTTCAGTTACGAGGAATTGGAGAATACTATCGTAAGGATCAGTTTCAGTTTACCAATAGTGACGCAAAAAAATTATCTCAAGGTTTAGAAAAATGCAATCTATTAAAAATATTTAGGTCAGTAGCTGTTAATTTACTAACGTAAATGTTCTTTTTACTGTTTTAAATATGATTAATAATTTTAAGTACATTCTAATGCACGTCAGGCTATCATAATAAAATCATGTGTTTTAAATCAGTGGCTTAAAACAAGTGTAGAAAATTGAGAGTTTTCTATAGACTGATTTTGCTGTTGAATGTACAAGAAGGAACTTAGACTCCTTTATTAAATCTTTACGTGAACTGTTACAGATTAACAAGAAGTGATATGAATTGTCAAAGGGTGAAATATATTTTGCGAGGATTGAGTGATAATCAAAATCTAGAAACATTAGATTTTAGTCATTGTAAAATTGGTGATGACGGAGCATCTTCTGTAGCAAAATTTATTTCTAGACATGAAAATTTACGACATCTTTTGCTTGTAGACAATGTATTTGGCAAGTACAACAGAAGTGTTATAGCTTATTTATATGATTTTGTTTATTCTTTTATTTGATATTACAGCAAACATCGAACTTAATGCCAATACGACTGTTTTACTGATATTGTTTTTCAATCAAGGGTGCATTCCAGGACCAACTGGTGCAGAAAGTTTATCGCATGCCCTTAATCATCTAGGATGTGGAATCCGTAATCTGGACTTAAGACTTAACAATAAACTTGGATCCGATGGTATAGCACATATAGCAGTATCAATCGCAAGAGGATGTAATCTCACATCGTAATATTCGTTATATAGTATTCATTTATTATTTAAATATATACTCAGAGAATATTGTACATACACTGTAACAAGCAAATAAATAATTGACTTACCGAAGTTTATGTTTAAGTTAATGTTTTAAGAAATAGGTTGAAATGAGAACTAAAATGGAAATGGGCGGTAGACCTTTCTCAAATTTTATTTTATTCATTCAATATTCTGAATCATTGTATAGTACCTAGCCCTAGATATAATTTTAATGTTGCAGATTAAACATTTCTGGTTGTGGAATAACACCTGGACCTTTATCCAAAGCTCCTACTGGAGTATGGTCAGCTACGAGCGCAGATAAGCCACCAAGTTGTGGAGACCTTTTAGCAAGAGCCATCGGACTAGTTAAAACTCCATTACGGTCATTAGATATAAGTGTGAATAATATCGGATCTGTAAGTACAAATAAGTAGTCATTATATTAAATATGAATATCTTAATTTAATGGATGGATGGATATTAAAGTTTTGAAAAATATTTTTATGCTCCATCTTTTAATATAATGTGTTTATGTCGAATTAAACCAATAAATTATGTCAAATTAAACTACAATATTGAAATTCCAGTTGATTTAAAAACTGTACTTACAAAAATGAGGAAGTATTTAAAAAAATAAAGAAACTACAAAAATTATGTTACTAGATGGCAGCACAAATTGTTGGATCTAAACGTCAATTCATGACGTTAAACCAAAGAGAATAGAATTGTTAGTGTTGTTATGGATCTGATAACTCGGATTAATATCAAGTTGGAATATAATTAGTCCGAGATATACAAACGCATCTCGATTAATACAAAGTAATCTTTGAATAAAAATCTTTTTTAATTGTATAAAGGAAAATATGGAAACTAAAATAATGGAAGTGAGCACAGAGGTTTTTTTTTTTAATTTATGTAAGTCAATTGAATTAATACTGTGATATAATTAAAAGTGGCATTTAGCTACGGTACACAATAATATTACCGCCAAATAGTTTTTATAAATATAATACTGATGCCATAGTAGGTCTAGGATTTTTTCATATTTAACAAAAGTTCTGAAAACAATAACAACTAGGTAGGTAAATTTTATTGCTATTAGTTATTTGTTGAACTTACAACAACAAATCTACATCAAGTCTCAATAATATTTTTATATTATGTATGGTAATGAATGAATGAATAGGGATTATTAATCAGCAACAAAATTCATAAAAACGATAATTATAATAAAATATCCGTTTATTATCTATATAGTTCCCGATATGTATCAAATATACTAGGTATTCGTACAAAATAACATGACTTCTGGCTAAAATAACGTTTGTACAAAGTGTAACGTGTGCTTTCGAAATTAAGAGTTCTCTTTTTTGTTCTTCGTTCCGAACCTGAATTTTAATGAAAGTTACGAGCAACCAATAAGTTGGCTCATCGCTAATGTTGATGTATCAACCAAACAACGTTCCTTTACACGTAACATAATAAACAACTTAAACTTACGATTAAAATAAATTTAAATTGATTTGAAAGTAAGATATTATGAGAAACACAAAACGATGTTATATTTATTAATTTTCGATACAATTTACTTTGATTACGTCAGAAACAAAATTTGCATGAATATCATAAACAAAATCCAAATATCGCGAGTGACATCTAATATGATTTCAAGAGCTAATTTTTATTGTTTAAATACTTCCTCATTAAGGGTTGAAATCAAGTGGAGAAATGTGACAAATTTGTATAACTTGACGTGCTGTTGATTGTACATCTATCAGTATATGCTCCATTTAGTATAGCATTAGCCAAAAGTAAAATAAAGTTTTTTCAAGGGTCATTTATAACAAAATATCAATTATCATGTTACTCTAAATTTGGTGCTTTTGTACTATATATCAATTTATTTACCAGCTATCAATCTTAAAGTATTTTAATTTAGATTTAAAATAAAAATATTTTACATTCCTGCTTCTATGATCCTCTATCTTCTTCTTCTACTATAAATGGAGTGTAACAAATAAGTTCTAGTTTCATTCGTAAGCTTTGATTCTCTCGTTTTTCAATGGTGTTTTTACTGTAGTATTATTACAAAAGTCACCAGTAGGCTTACCTTGGTACTGAAGTCCTGAATGATTTGTTAGGCTGATAGATCAACAGTTATCAATCTTTAGATCAATTGGTCTGTCCAATCTTAGATAAATTTTGATTAGTCTATACATTAATGATTCTTGCACATTATGCCCTACAGCCATGTGATAGTGTATTATCCAATGCGATTTGCCTGAGTTATATAGTCGATGTAAATCTCAAACGTTCGGGTATGAGTTCGATTTCAATGGCTGTAGCGGAATCGGCTGCTGCTTCACAAAGACTTCGCAGAGAGGCTGAAAAAGGAGTACGATTCAAAAGAAGTGCTGGTAGAGTTTTACAAGCTCGAAGGGTTGTGAAGGGCATGAATATAGGTGTGAATATTTCTATTGTATTTACATAAGTATAATACATATTATAGTATTAACTATAGTCCTTATACATTCCAGACGCCGATCCTATTCTTTTCGCTCAGCAGTTATCTGCCCGACCTTCCATAGTGTCAGTAGCATCAGAGGAGGGAATTTACAGTATACAAACTCAACCGTTACCTTCTGATTTTGGTTTTGTGCCAGCGTTAAAGGTAATTCCCATCTTGTTCTTCAGCTTTCTATATGATAGTAAATAATATTTCTATTATCTACAACGAATGTTTAATTTTCTAGAGTCCTTTACCATCATCTCGCAATTCATCAATTACTGGACCACCTACATCTAGAAGATCTAGTCATCATATCGTTTTAGAACCAGTTAAGGTTTGCATTAACTATCCATATTTTTATAAATAATTCCCAGCCATCATTATATTAATATATATATATATATATATATATATTAATGATGTACAATATTCCTGGATTAAAAAAAAATTAAAGATAGTTAATAAATGACAGAAATAATACTCAGATACCAAATAAAGTAATTTATGCTATTATGATATCGAAATACAGGCAATTTCTATTTTTTTAGGAACTTCACCGTACAGCTTTACTTCGTCGTGGATCCGATGGCTCATTACTAAAATCTCGTAGGAATACATCTGAACGTCATATTAAAATATTTATATCGAATGAATATCAAGATTATGATTATTAGATACATATAAGTTGAACTTCTGATTATCTCAAACAATGTATTTAATAAACACAAACCACTTTTTATTAATCTATTATTAATATCCTGCTTATTATATTATGGTCTGACATCACAACAGTTCAATACATATCTTTTCCTCGCTTTCTGGTAATATATTGTATTATGGCAATATTATTCATAGACAATAATTCTTTTTTTACGTAAACTGTCAGTCAGTCGATTATGAACCTGCCAGTCTTTTGAATGTCACGCACGTCAATTCAGTCAGCCATGTTTATTTCTGTGGAATGTGTTTGGAAATGGTGGTAGTGATAAAGATTATTAGAGCTGTGGAAACGTTTTCATATTTTTATCGTTATTAAAAGTGCTAGTGAAGCATAAATGTGTTTTTTGTGTTAGTGAGGTGATATTACTTCCACCAAAATGAATTGGGGCACAGAGCTTTGGGTAAGTTCCCACAGAACAATCTTGAGAGTGCCAAATTGCACATCGTTGTTTTAATTTTTTTAGCGTAAATTTCATTTCGTAAAATAATTCTTCCATCAATTTTCAATAAAGCAGTTGAATATGTAAAGTATGTTTCAGTTCTGATGGGGAATTGTAATGTTAAGATATTTTTAGCTCAAAATTCATGAAAGCTAATTTCAGTATGGTCAATAATTGAATAAAATTTAATTTATAAAGTTGTTACTAATTTAATCTATAAAGTTGTATAATTATTACAACTTTATATATTATTGAAATATTTTTTCACCAGATCTTTTTGAAGGTACCATCAATTTTTATATTGAGTCAATAGATTCAGTCAAGAAGTAATTGACAAAACAATATTTATTAAGACATTTTAAAGTAGTTTGAACATCAGTAGTTCATCCTCTTGAGATTGAATACTATTAGTAGGATTATTGTAATAATTACACCCTCTTTTACTATTTTTCTGATACTTCAGCGAAACTATAAAATACCACACTCAGTGAAGAAAATCACTAATAAAACAATTTTCACAAGTAAAGGTTTTTTAATTGAATATAAAGGTGTACTGTACTGTATTATCCTATACAAAATAACCATTATACAAAGTGTGAACTTGTGATACTTATTTTACCTCTAGTCAGAGTTTTTATGATTGTACCTCATTATCGGTGGTGTAATTTCATAGCTGGACTTTTAATATATGAGTAAATATATTTATAATATTGATATTATTTATTAATGTTTATTGTTGTTTTATTCATATTTAATAATAATAATAATATAATCTTTATTGCACACATGCAGACTTTTTGAATAAGAATAATGTGATTTGGTTTTGATGCCATTATGCTTTTCCTTTTTTTTTTGTTAAGTTTAATTTTAGAGAATTTTAATTTCTTAGAATAAAACACGAAAAAAAAACTTTAACAGATTATATTTCCTATATAAAAACTTAAAACCTATACTTTAGTTGGGATAGTGAGGGAGGTCAAATAGATTGTAATTGGAGCATAGCTTAAGCCTACTTACTGCGATACAGGTGAAGGTTTTCAATATGAACTTAGAAAATTTTCATTGTTATTAACATTTTTCAAATCAAATTTCTTGTTGAAAATGAACATCTTAACATAATGTCACAAAAGCATATTATTTTGACAGTAAACTTGTATTACTTTGAAAGTTCTGTGTCACCTCTATAAATGTGTATAGGATGTACTTGTTACAAACAACACTAGAAATCTAATTTAGAACTGTATGTCATAACTTAAATATGCATAATTGTACAGATATTCTGAACTATATCCATTGTCTAATAATCTTAAAAAGTATAGGTAGTTTTATTGTAATGTTTTTATAACATCTATATTATAAAACAATACAATCAAACTCTGCTGGTGCCAAAGCACGCTTACTTCACTGGCTCAGTTTTTTGTTTTCTAACCTAACTTGATTTAAACATTGTTGTCTTTGTGGCCACCCTGACACTTACATGCTAAGACTAATGATGGCAGAGTCAAAGAACCTATACCGTATATATTAGTCACATCTATTTTAAAACACATTTAATTAAGTTCAATCTGCCTTAGAAGACTTCAATTGTGTTAAAGATATTCAGATACGATATTCTGTATTTAATTATCAAAATATTTAACCAATCAATAATTAATCTCAATAATTTTGATTCCCAGCAAATATCATAAAAAGAAGAAAACATTATGCCAAGTGTGTTCTGCTGAATAAGTTTTTCTGCCCAATAGAACAAGCCCCAAAATTAAATATGACGTTATTCTAAAAATAATGTGATGTTAATTTAATATAAACTATATTCATGTAGCATTGATACTATTATGATTAAGATTCAATGACGATCAAAGTGAAACTTTCAAATTGTTTGCATTGCATTCAAATTCAAGACATAGGTATGTAATGCAAGGACTCATCCTCACTTGGAAAACAATGAACTGTGCTTCAAACAATCAATGTCTGCTGTACATACATTGTATTTTAATTTTCAATTTGTCAACAATTAGATCAATAAGTTACTTACTTGGTATGTAATATCTCTGGTATTCATTATGATTTATACTGTATGTTAACAGACTTATTGCATTTTAACTAGGAATGAGTTTTTTTATTTATTTTAACATACAGTAAAAGGGATATAATTAATTCTCTCAAGTATTTTAAGTTAAGTTCTTATAGCTTTATAATGAAATAAAAAACGCTTTCTTAAGATACATCTCTAACGTGCTGAAATTATTATATTTGGCGGCATAAAGACATCGGTCATCGCCCTCTACATACACGTACGTAATAGGCGTGTTGCCATTACAGTGACCATTTTCATCTATAAGTGTGTGACTACAGTAACCAATTAAAGAGGCAGATGCGGACAATCAAATCACTGTGAAAAAATTGGTGTTATTATGTTTTTAGAGGTTATGTACTTTTTGTTGAGATCTAATATTTAAATGGGAGGAAACTCATGAGTGTGCACAAAAACTGTTTATTTTATTATGAATAAGAAAATAATGTATTTGATATCTTTGTTGAGAATTGTCAGATTGACTTGAAGTTTTTACACATTCAAATGTTTACTATTTATGCTTAAGTTCCTCGTTGAATGACTGCAGCAGGAACATCAAGTCAGGTTTTATTAGTTAACTATAATGTGTTATGTTGTGAATTCGTAGCGTTTATCGTATTATGAATATAATCAGTATAATTTTTTATGAAAATAGGTTAGATAATGGATGAGATATTAGAAATTTTGTTGTCTTCTGTCATAATAGTTGGCTACTTTGTTCAGAGTGGTCAATGTTGGCAAGCTGCAAGGCCAATGGTGATGGCGGTCCGCATTCCGCTCTCGCCACTTGTGAAACGAGACCATTTGTCTACCTACCTACCTACCTCCAATCAATATGTAGATGAAAACATGCTTGCGGCCAATAACGACAACTATGAGAAGTTATCGCCTGCCGTTCCTGAAATGTTGTTGATAATTACATTAGCTCAAACCAAAGCAGGTGTTACACAATTCATTTATTAATGTCCCTGAACTGGTTTGGTGTTTTGTAATGCGACCTGCATATCCGATACAGTCCGTTAGATACCGAGGAGCCCCGCTATAAGACAATCGAGCAGGTATTAGATCAATGGCAAAGATTGGTGTTAAGCGAAAAATCGATAACTCCGCTAAAGCATTGTGAAGTGTAAATCTTTAAGGTTGGCCATCAGGACAAAAGAGAAAACGAGACGAAATTAACCTCCCTTAATGAGAAAGATAAGATAGAGGATGGCATATTGCGCGTCATATTATTTTATTATAAATCACTTACAAATTAATTAAGATTATTGTAAAAGCGCTTCTTTAAGTCCTCGGCTACAAAATTACTCATATAATGCGGGTGTAGACGATATATGAAAATAAATACATTTATTTTTTTCTAGAAGTTTTTAATATATTATTTACCGATAATCACACTTATGCTTATTGTATATATAATATATAATTTAAAATATTGCTTAAATTGATTATGAAAAAAACAAATATTTTATGGTCGTTGTCACGTGACCCCAAACAGCGCGTGATGTCATAACCCTCTTACTCGTATCAAAACTTAGAGAATTCAACCTTATGCATACGTACAATAATATTCATTTCAGAGTGCCGTGGTCATAACGAAATATTGCGAAAAATCGTTGTCGCGAATGATTTTGTATTTTATTTAAAGTTATTTTTAGGTTTTAACTTATAATACGAAAATATTAAAAAAAAAATAGATATATTTCGCGTATATCTATAAAATAAAAAAAAATATACATACACCCTTATTATGAAGTGTCTATCTTGTGAAAAGAGTATGATTACGGAAAGTTATGGAAAAAAAAATATATTGAAAATAATCACTTGAAATTATGTACTTTTCTCGAATTCATAAACCGACCGAGAGAGAATTTTATAAATACACGTTTTGATCGATGACAGAATCCGTTTCTCATTTTTAATAGCAGCTTATGTAAACGTTATTTCTTTGTAAAACCTAATTGAAAGTTTGTGATTTTTGGTGCGCACGCCCTTTAAATATCTTTCAAATTTTATTCGTGGATTTATGAATAATAATTGTGTTCATTTTCCTCTATACGAATAAATTCAAATTCAGATAAATGAAACGCTTTTCCATCCTTTTATTACGAGGCATTTTAATAGTGCGACAGAATTTTTAATCTGTCCAATGTAATGATTGATAGACATTCACTACTTAATGTAAAGAGTTGATGACACTGCAATGTTAGCTAAAATTCCCAAAATATATATAATGTTGCTTTTTGTAAGCAGATGACGATGCGACCATTCAAAAAGTTTCCAAACTATATTGAGCATTTTTGTAATTTATACTTCAATGGCTCTGTCCCGTTAAGGGAATATCTATCAATAATTCGATAAAATTGCGTCGACGTAATGAATGTTTTACTGGTCTGCTTTGTCACTGCCTTTAAGGTGGGATTGTTGATACGCTCGAGTGGAAGTTATTGACAAATAATGTGGCCACTAGGTTAGTTTGTGGTGGTTGCGAAATTCCACTAATGGGACAGACATGATATTGAATTGCTTTATTTTCTTGTGATTTAACAGAATCATGTTTTATAATAATTTGTTTACGTCTTGTATATTGGAAAGCATAATGCGGTGACAACTTTTTAAACTTGATATTTAACTTGCTACACTGAAAAATGTACTTAATGAAAAATGCTTAAAAATCCACTTTGTCCCTGGCACTCTGAGATGGGAGTCGATCTCAGGGTAGCTCAGTGGTAAGAGCAGTAGCCCGGAATTGCGAAAGGTCATGGGTTCGAAGCATTTTTCATTAAGAATTTGATATTTAGTTTAATATTGCCATTATTTTATCGAAAGATGTTTTACTGGTGTTTTATCAGCCCACGCGTTTGTCAAATTACGTGTTTGTGGGTCG